AAAAAATAAATAATACATTTTTGAAATTATTTATTTATGAAATCAATAATTTCAAAATATTCAATGTAATTTAAATAAATGCATAATTATTTTAAATTGTTAAAGTATTATTGAATTATCAAATAAGGTTGTATAAAATAAAAATATTGAATAATGATTAGCAAATTCTGATTTTTTTTAATTTAAATGAAGAATTTCAATAAAAAAAAAAAAAAAATCCCTTAATACTATAAACATTAAAGTCCCAACAATATTTACTTGTCGAGTAGATAATAATTGTTGTTGTAAATAATTTATTTGAATATCTTTTTGATCAGATGTTTGTAAACTAGCTTTCATCATTCCTATTTCATTTTTATAAGCTTCTAGTTCACATTTAAGATGGTCATTTTCGTCCTGCATCAAAAAATATAAGTTTTTAAATAAGTTCAACAAAATAATAAGTAATTATTTCTATTGACCTGTAACTGTATAGGGTCTGTTTTGGTTTTGGTCTTTTTTATATTACTTTCATCATCAGAAAGATCCATTTCATCTCCACCAATTATTTCATCTTCATCATCTATACCCAGCTTGGATAGGGCCTAAATTGTTTAAATAGTGAACTAAATTATTGAATTAAATTTATTTTGTTATATAAGTACTGGTATATATTTATATACTTTATTTGTAGCAGGTACATTACAAATTTAAGGTAAAATAAATAACGCGCGATCCCTAATGTTCACATCAATCATAAAAAACTCAATGTAAACAAATTTAAATATAATACCTACCTAAATTATTTGGTACATTACAAATTCCTGTTAGTTATACTCTTAAAATATTACAGCACAGTCAACATTGACATGCAAACAAACATTAAAGCATGCAGTGATACAAATAATAATTATATTGTATTTGTTAATTTCTTCTCAACAAAATAATATTATTGAATTGTAACAAAATTATAAAACAAAATAATTGCAAGAAGAATTTTGTGTTAACATATAAGCATTATTATTTAAGTAAATTATAGTAATACTTTGGTACAGTTTTATTACAATAGTCTTTACTATATTTAATAGATAAGCAATCTATCAGGAAGGTTACTAAATTAAGCAAAAGCCATTATTGTTTGTTTGTTTCTGTTAGCATAAAACCTACCATTGCCTGCTTCTTCCATGTCTCAATGTTCTTTCGCTGCGCCTTTGTGAAATGATCCCAAACCTTCTTGTGCGATGCAGAAGTAAACACTTTCTCGATCTGGGTGACTTTATACAAGGACAATAACACAGGCAGTTAACAATAACGTTTAAAAAAAAAAAATTTCAGATATGTTTTGATTTTTAGAGTAAAATACATTATGCAATAAAATAAAAATTAATTTTTGTGTGAAAGTTGATAAGTAATTTATCAATTATTAATTTCAAAATTAAAAGAGTCAAAAAATAAATTAGATTCATTTTTTTATACAAATAACATACCACTATGAAATTTCAAGAAATAATTTTTGTAAAACATTTTTATATATATGTTACTGGAAAAGATGACATTCAGTCAGTGTTGACAATGACTAGTCAATAACGATAATGCTTGATTTAGTAAGGAATTAATGTCAATAACTAGTCATTGATGACAATTCCTAATAAAAGAAGGCATTGATGATAACGCATTTCATTTAAATCCATTTTTAAACAGATTGTTGAAAAAATGAACAATGTTATTACACGTGACTATGTGAATAGTGATACTTCAATGCACAAACAGTACTGTACAGTCACTTGTGGGATGTAACCATAACGATACAAATTTAATTATAAGTTATAAGCTATAAAAACAGGATATACCATATTATATACCAATAAGTAAAAGTATAGATAGCTATGTTCTATAATCAGATCGATCACCGATAAAGCGAGGTGTTGATATTTTTTTCGATTCAAATTTATAACATTGCCTTATATAATACGAAAATCTAGATAAAACTACAAAATATCCAACATCGCCAAACCTTTCCAGTCCTTGTCAATAATGACTAGGATATAACGACGATTCCTGAATTTCCATCTTTTCTGGTAACATATATATATATAATTTGTTATTCAGTCATAAAAGTTAAATCTTATAACTATTTAAATGTAAATGTTCAATAAACGAGAATCTAAAAGAATAATAAATTACTCGCGTATTCAGTAAAATGTAATTTCCCTAGTATAAAAGAATACAAGTTTCAGGGGCTAAATTTGATTACTCAATAAATAATTAAATAATTAAAAACCATACCATAGTTAAAACCTGCAGCCCACAACAGACTTACCTTTTTTAAATGGGAAGTAAAATAATAGTTTCTGAAATATAAATAACATATTCAAATTGTATTACAATGGAATACAATAATGTAATTCCAATGTTCAAAAACCTTTATCCAATTTATTGATACATGTTATTTTACGTCTTAATAAAATTAGTATATTTATACTCATCATATTTTACATCATATATAAGTACTATATTTTTTTCTTCAGTCATAAGCAATACTAACCTTGACAAACGCACAATATAAAATCATAATATTTGAAAAGTGAACCTTGAATATTTAAAGCTAAACCAAATCATAAAATAAAAACCAAATACCTGAATCTAAATTATTATATAAAAAAAAGAAATTATGAAACCTGTCATGCACTAAAAAATAGCTTTTATAGTAATTATATTTTGTTTTTTCACATATTACAGGCTATGTTATTTACTTTTTCTTCCTGTGTTCTGCCTTGCCATCAGTTGTTATTCTAACAAGGCAATGGTTAGAAGTTTCCTTATAACCAAAATATACTAATAAGTATTTTATTGAAATAATTTACTTACATTGCAATAAAATTGCTTGCATACGACGTTTAGTGAGGTCTTTGAGATTTTGCAGTTCTTCTTCAAATTGATTTTTTTCCGATAATAAACGGCGTACATGGGAATTGGTTGATTGAATAATTGAGTAAAATATATTAACATTACGTTTATTACAGTCACCTCGTTCTAACCAAGTAATCACTACTTGTACAGCATTTAAAAACGATGTATCAGCTATAAAATAATAGTTTATAAACATATGTAATAATAAATTATAAAATAAAATAGATTATAAAATATTCACCCTTAATTTCTTCACTAACAGATAAAGCTTTAGCTTCAGTGAAATGTGGTATTAAAGGAGGTGATGGAGGTGGATTTGAACGAGTTTGTTGCTGACGCCTTTCTTCACGCATCAAGTGTCTTTTCTTCATTTCCCATTCATATTGATCATCACGAGCTTGAGCATAATCTACATGTAAACGTGATGCAGATATCAGTTCTTGTCCTTTCATCACTAATCGATAACCTAAACATAATATTTATTAACTATTATTATAAGTTATATTAAGAATTAAAATGTGTTGCAATTTCTTTGAAATTCTCATAATGCACTAATAAGGAAATCATTAAATATTTTTGCTCATAAATAACATGTGGAAAATAATAATCAATTATATCACTCAAATATAAAACCTAAATTATTAAATTACCTGAAAGTTCTAATGCAAGATTAACAGAACATTCATTCTCAAAACGTATATGACAAAATTTCCTATTGCTTAAACGAATTGTTAATATTTCTCCATAATTAGTAAAAATTGATTTCATTATATCTTCTGTAATGCTATCGGGTAAACCTCCAACAAAAATTGTTCGGCAACCAGGAGGCTTTTCTCTAGAAGTTGGTGCAGGAGCATTGGAAGGAGGTGGGTACAATGTGCACTGTTCTAGTTGAATAATACGTTTGTCTGTCTGAATAACATTAGAGTCTGGTGCTCTAGGAGTTGTATGATTTACAATCATTGAGGGTGGTGTTAGCATTCCACCCATGACACCATACTAGAAAAATCGATTAGAAATCAATAATATGATACAAGGAATGTGTAGGTACTAACTTGTCCCATAAACATGGCAGAGTCCATAACATTCATAGGATTTATTAAATTAAATGGATTGAATGGAGGCATTAATTCATTCCACAAAGGAGATGTTCTAACTGGTACTGGTGGTTTATTCGAAGAAATATTTGCATCAATAGGTAAATCTATTAAAGGTGATGGTTTATCTCCATGTATATCGGTAAACTGTATTTCACTAAATGTAGTATATCAAAAATGAATTACATTTGATTTATATATTATAATTAAGTTGTAAGCTAAGTACAAACCCTCTTTGATTTCTGACTCGTTCAACCATTCGTTCCCAATGATCTTCAGAATTATTTATTTGGGTATCAGGTTGATCCCAACGTCCTCTTTTGATTTCATTGACTCTATTACGTTCATCTGAACTTGTAGATTCAGAAATTTTTCTACGAAAAATTGTATCATCTGTGTCCATTCATGAATAAAAAAAAACATCAATAAATATATTATTAAATTCGTATAATAATGAAGCAAAAAACCGTACAATAAGAAGCCATTTTTCATCCCACCACATCAAGTGTATGAAAAATAGATAAACAATTAAATTTATTAAAGGTCTTAAAAGACAACAAGATCTGTGAGAAAAGAATCATAGATATTAAAGAATATTTAAAAAAAAATAAAGCCGTTCTATCGGAACGTAATCACAAAAAAAATAATTTAATCAATAATTTAGTTCATATATAATTTGAGGAATCATTTCTTTATAAATAAATTTTACCCCTTGCTGTCTATATCAAAATGTACTATCTTGCTATTTGTTAGCCATGGAAGAACAAGAAATTAAAATTTGATAAAAAAATTTATCATACATCAACAAAAATGTTTATGATAAGTTTTATTTGCGGTCACATCAAAGATCATTCGAAAACATAATCTATGGTCAGATCACAGAATAAGTTAGATTAGAATGGACACTCTCGGTACAGATTGTTCAGACATTTTCTACCTACATTGGGTAAGACCAATCATCTATAAAAATGTATTTCTGTTTGTGGTGATACCGCAGACTAAATGAAATGATATTGTTGGTCATTGATAGTAGCAAATTGCTGCTGCGTGACCAGTCCATAGAGTAATATAAATTACTCTATGGGCCAGTCACAGTTTTCCAATTACATAATCATACTGGATTGAAGGCACGTCAATACAGCTCTGAAACGTTATTTGTTTTGCTATTGATTCAAGGACGTTACTTGAAATTTAGATAAAAATTTGAATTTCAAGAGGTTATAGAAAAAAAGGATCCCGTTCAGCTGATCGGATTGCATTTATAAAGTTTTGAACAATATTTTCTAAGTCATTTGGACTTACAAGTCAAGTTTTTAAAATAATTTTGCAGAATTTTTCTCAGTTCATAATATCATAAATTAATTTTGTTAGGGAAAGTCTTAAAGATATATGTATATTTGACATCCTTTACAATTTGTCAGATATTTATTTCTTGAACAAATATTTCTATGTTCATAATAGATTATATAGGTCTTAATCAAAAACCCAAAAAACAAAAATAATTAATTTATATTTTTATTACTTCATACGATACGATCGATGTGACCTCCGATACGACCTCCTCCCCAAATATCATAAAACAAAACGAAAAAAAAAATTATAATATATGTCAATAGTGCTCGACTTGACAAAATTAAAGAAGGGGTACACTATTTACTTGAAAAAAAAGAGTATCCCCAAAACTTGTTAAGCGTTATAATTATAACGCAATAATGGTAGGGGGACCCTTAAATTTCTGAAAGTTAGTGGGGTACTCCGTCCCTTTGCGTCCCCCTTCAAATTGAGTACTGTATGTTAAGCAATGATAAAAATTAGAATTTTTCTACAACATTTGTAAAAAAATCGGGATATTGACGTTCCGCTTTATTGTAAAGTGGAATTCGGGACACTAAAAAAATCATTAGATACATTTTAAATAAATTAGATTAGTAGGTAATAAAATATTTTTATTTAAATCATTGTCATTACAGCTTGAGTTAGACTCTTTTTGACTTTTATAATACAATTCCTTTAAGTCTTAATATTAAAAGAAATATTAGCAATAATAAATAATAGCGAAATTACGGTTAGTGACCATAGTACTATCTAACGCATATTTTATATATTGGCTATGTAGTATACAAAAAAGATTAAATAGTTAAGTATCTATTCAATATTTTAATTTAATAGTTGACAAGTTAGGTATTTCTTATACATTTAATTCTATTCGACAAAATTAAACTAAAAAGATATCCGATTTTAGGTATTTACAAATATACGATACGATCAGTGGCGAATTCTTCAGACATGCTCAGCATGGGCCGCATGCTTAGAAATAAAAACGTTATTAATTAAAATACAAAAACTATTTTGTAATCAATAATATATTATGTATTTTAAAAAAATATAATGTATTACAATAATGTAATTTAATTCTATTATACTTTGTAACATTTAATGACAGAGCATGCGATAGATGTGTGCGCAAGCCACACAATGCTTTTTACCGCTGTAAAATACCAGTTATTCCGAGACCATCTCTACTAGCAGCCGCGGTATTTATTACCCAGGGCATGCTCATTCTGATGCGCTTCGTCAATGTCGTAATTTATGAAGTTTACGTGAACAAGTATACGACAATTTTTCTTCGTTTTATTTTATTTTGCTATTTTTTAATATTATTTAGCTAGTTAAATATTATTTAAGTAAGTGCTATTGTATATATATTAAATTAAAGTCTTATTAATAAATTAATACAAATTATTTATTAATTATAAATTAAATATAAGTGGAAAACATTATGATAAATGAGCATGCCCGTATCAGGTCAACATTCGCCACTGGGTATGATATAAATATTTTGCTACAAGTGGTTGTAAAAAAATCAGTACCTTTTTGTTCCGTTCGTTTGTAAAATGGGACACGGGACAAAAATTAAAAAACACATAAAAACCTAATATACGCGTTCCGTTGAGAAATGAAGCGGGACGCAGAACAAGTATATTATAAATCAGAAATGTCCCTCGCCAAATCGGAAAGTATCCGAACCCTAGGTTGTTCTATTATGCGGTTCATACCAAAGTATACCACTTAAAGCAGTGATATCTTAAATTTGTCCAGACTACTATCACGGAATATCATAACCATGCTACTAAAGTTCGTGTTCGTAGCGATCACGGCGTGAAGAATCCTCTACACCGTGGTAGTAATATAGGAACTAATTTAATTATTTGCAAAATTAGAATGTTTGATAGGAGTCATTGGGAATCCTTTTAAACGGTGACCACAGTAGTTTTTGAAGTCGTTAATGCTATACTTTACTGCTTGAAATATTTCAATTTCGAATTATTTTAATTGCTTAACGTTCATGTTCAGTTTCTATGATAATAATTTAACTAGTTATAGTTGTAATATTTGATTTATAAATACCATACCTGATCAGTACTGATGCACAATACATTTTAAATAAATATTTTTGTTCAAAGTTTTAATACTTTGTAAAAATGTTGTTTTCCTGGGAACGTATGATGGATATTTTAATCCATCACAGTATGAATAGTAGTTTTATGGAAACATTTAATCGTGCTGCTAGAAATGAAAAAGTAACTGTCTGTTCGCTAGATGATTATATCAGGTGCTTATTTTAAAATCTTTGTATTGAATCTTAATCAAATATATTTTGATTTCTGATTATAAACATTTTATCTTTATGACAGTGGTTGTTTGGGAAGATGGTTAGACAGTCCCGAGTTTGACATTAGTCTGAAAAGCTCTGCCAAATCTGAAAAGACTCGATTAGATGCTAATGAAGAATTCAAAAAGAATCGGCTGGATTTATGCTGCAAACTTTATACCAAAGCAGCTCAGTTTGCTCCACATCAAAGTTTAGAACTGGCATTATCATTTTCTAATCGTTCAGTTGTGTACATGAAATTAAAAAAATTTGAGGTATAATTGAAATGAAATTTAAAATTAGTATAAAAACACAACAAAATTTAAATTTTTCAGGACTGTGTGAAAGACATAAATGCTACATTAAAATTGTTAGAAAATACTAATAGTAGTGAAAAAGGAGTTGACAAAAATCAATTGACTGTAAAACTTATGAAACGTAAAATTGACTGTTTGATAGCTTTAAAGCAGTTTGTTGAAGCTCAAAATTGTTGGGAAAGTTTGTTGAAAATATCTAAAGATGATTTTAAAATAACTTTAGAGGGTATTTAGTCATAAATATTTTGTTGTATATTATTATTTATTCTAACTATGTACTTTGATATAGATGAATTTATTAAAAAGTGTAACATTTTATCTGATCACAAAAATAATGACTCAATTAAAGTTGATACTATAGAAGATATTGATGAAATTAATCAGCCCACAATGTTAACAGAAGATATTATTAAAAATTCATTGGAAAAAAGTAATATAACTCTTCCATTTCAGTCTTCCAAACTAAAACTATGGTAATTTTTTACATATTTATCAAAAGTATATAAAAACCTTAGTTAATAAAATTAAAATGTGAACACTAAAATAGTGGTCTATAATATTTGTATAGCTATTATTTATAAAAAAAATTGCTGGGTGAATTTGTGATAAAACTATTTGTTATATAACATTTGAATCATATATATATATATATGTGTATGTATATGAATTTAAATGTATTAGATTTTAATATATGCCCATATATTACAGTCTATGCTTGAATTTATCAATAATTTGGCTTACTAAAGATAATCATCAAAAATTTTTTTTCTATTACTATATAAATGCTAGTTAATTATTACCTATCCAATTTCTTTTTATAATTTTATTTCTTTTCTCCTACGGCCTTGATTAACTATGTTATTTTACTAAGAAGCATTTATAAAATAAAGAAATTATGGTACATTTAAATAATTCATAATTTAATGTCTATTTTTTGGATCATAAATTTTAATGTGGGAGGAGACTATAATGCCAAGCATCAAAGTTGGGGTTGTCCCTCAAATAATCCTCGTGGCTACGTTCTTCATACCTATGCAAGTGCAAAAAACTTAAATGTACTTGCCCCTCTTGACCCTACCTATTGGCCTTCTTCTCCTCGTGAAAATCCCGACATATTCGACATTTTTGTCACAAAAATTCCCTCCAGTCTACACTCTTCTGCTGTTAACCTCATGGATCTTAACTCTGACCACTCGTCAGTCCTATGCACACTCAACACCTTCCCGCTAACTCGCTCTGAGCCACCTAAACTATTTAATCCCTCTATCGACCGTTAAAAATTTCACAACCTCGTAAATCAAGGCATTAAGCTTAATGTTAAACATAAATCTACCAATAACATTGATTTAGCTATAAATAATTTGACAAATTTGATCCAGTCAGCGGCTTGGTCATCCAATTCACACACACATCATCCTTTAGATCAGACTTCAGTTCCTTTCGATATTTGTCTATTAATTGCAGATAAGAGGAGGGCTAGAGCCCTTTTCCAATGTTCTCACCTTCCCTCTCATAAACATAACTATAATAAATTCTCTAATTTCCTTAAAAAAATGTTGGCCAAACATAAAGCCTCTTTACTTGAAAAATTCTTGACAAATTTGTCTCCTAACGACGGCAGTCTTTGGAGAGCCACTAAAAGAACTTGTAAACTCAATTCTCTTAACGTACCAATTAAAAAATCAGATGGTTCCTTTGTCTGCACTGACTGGGAAAAAGTTAAATTATTTAAAGATTTTCTTCATGAGACATTTCAACCCCATCCTGAAATATTCTCTCTTGAAAATAATTTTGCTGTCGCTGAGTCTCTAAGTTCTCCTCTTCCTGTTTCTTGTCCTGTAAAACACTTTTCTCCAAGTGAAGTCAAATTTGTTATTGATAAGTACCCGCAGAAAAAATCTCCAGGTTTTGATCTCATCACAGGCAAAGTTGCCAGATGCTTACCAAAAAAAGCTATATTATACCTCACTCACATTTTTAATTCTATTTTAAGACTCTCATACTTTCCAATTTTATGGAAATTTTCAACTATTATTATGATTCCCAAGCCTAAGAAACCTTCGCATACTGTATCTTCCTTCCGTCCTATTAGTCTTCTGCCTTTTTTCGCAAAAATTCTGGAAAAATTGATCCTTAAGCGCATCTTACCTAGTATCTCAAACTCGGTTCTACCTGATACCCAATTTAGCTTCTGTTCTGCCCACTCTACCATCTACCAGGTATACAGAATTGTCGATGTCACCTCGTTCTCACTTGAAAAAAAACAGTATTGTACTTGTGCCTTTTTAGATTTTTCACAAGCGTTTGACAGGGTATGACACGATGGTCTTCTTGTCAAATGAAAAAAAATTTTGCACCTTGTTTTTTACCTAACCATTAAATCATACCTGTCAAACCGTTATTTTCAAATCAGATTCGGTAATGCACACTCATCTATATCCAATATTTCAGCTGGTGTTCTCCAAGGGGGTACACTCTCTCCAGTACTTAATAAAATTTATGTTGCTGATCAGCCTACCATACCAAACACTTTAGTTGCTGATTATGCAGGCGATAAGGCAATAATATCTATCAATTCAAATCCGGAAATAGCTTCATACAATCTTCAGAATCATCTAACCCTTATGGAAGACTGGTATACCAAGTGGCGATTTAAAATTAACCAGACAAAATCTATCCACACTACTTTCACACTTTGTCTCTCTCCATGACCCAAGGTATCTATATATGGCACTCAAATTCCTACTTCTTTCACTGTCAAATATTTAGGACTTACACTTGATCGCAGACTTACCTGGGCCCCTCACCTTAAATCTAAAAGACAAAATTTAAACCTATGGCTGTGCCTGTTAACAATTTTCTGTAATAACAATAAATACACAAACATTAAAACTAAACTTCTTATTTATAAATCTCTAATCAAGCCCATCTGGACATATGGCATACAGCTCTGGGGTAATGTAAAAAAATCTAATATCAACAAGATTCAAACTTTTCAAAATATTGCGCTAAGGAAATTACTTAATTCTCCACCTTATATCTCCAACCATTCTATACATCAAGACCTCAGGATGAATTCCGTCAAAGACGAAGCAAAACTATACTATAAGCGCTTCCACAGTAGGTTATCCAACCATCCTAACCCTCTTATAAAAAATCTAGCAATCCATTCAATTCCAGGTAATCCTGCTAGATGTCTTAAATGTAACTGGTGTCGTGACCTGCTAAATACAGGAATCCTAGAAAATCCCCTTGCTAAACTGAAACAAAATAGGTAGTGTCATCAATGAGTGGCTTCTTCCGTCATACTTTTCATGTTTTTATTACTCTTATCAAATTTACTTATTGTTCTATAGATTGTAAATATCTTGTAAAAAAAAAAAATAAATCGTAATATTTATCCAGAGTTACTACATATATTATTAGTGTTAAAATATTATAAAATGTTAATAAATAAAATTAATAATAGGAAAATTATTCATTTTAGCTACACAGAAGATAAAGGAAGGCATTTAGTTGCATCAGAAAAAATTAATTATGGTGAACTTCTTATATTTGAAAATCCATTTGCATTTGTGTTACTGCCAGACTATTATGATTCATTTTGTTATAACTGTTGTGTTCCACTACAATATTACTCAATCCCGTAAGTAGTGTACTTAAATTATGTTCGTATTTAAAGCATTTTGATTTAAATTAATCATTTCACAGTTGTAACTATTGTTGTACAATATTATTTTGTGGTGAAAAATGTCGTCAAGAATCTTGGGACTCATATCATCGTTGGGAATGTAAACAAGGGACATCGATTTTCAAAAGAATTGGTATTGCCCATCTTGCATTACGTCTAACATTTGAAACATTACATTCAAACCGCAAAAATGATAAAATATATAATCTTGTAACTCATATTGAAGATTTTAAATCACAGGCGTTATTCCAATTTAGTCTGGTAATTCATTTAATTAATTATATTAAGAAATAAAGTTGTACAGATTATTAATTTTTATTCACTAATTTCATGTAAAAATATTATATAAAGTTATTTTATGTAAAATACTACCAATAGTAAAATGTTAATTTTATTTTAGACTGCCACTCTTTTGCTTTTATTTTTGCAAAAAAAAACAGACTTTTTTCAAACCCACCCAGAGCTAGTTCCAGATTTGGTGGGTAATGAATTATTACAACACATGACACGATTAGTGTGCAATGGAAATGCTATTTCAACTCATATGTTGTCAGATTATGATTCTGAGTCTATAATTTCAATTATTGATGAATCACAACCACGTATTGGAACGGCCATATTTCCTACTTCAAGTTTGTTAAATCATTCATGTGATCCAAATATATTTTCAAGGTAAAATTGAAAATGACTATGCATGAATACATATTTTAATTCAAATAATCTTTCCAGTAATATACTTAAGTATGTGGTCATTAAAGCATCAAGGGATATTGAAAAAGGAGAAGAAGTAACTAATTGTTATGGTAACTAATGACATAATATTCATATAACATTTATAAATGAGTGTTTTTTTCTTAGGGCCTAATTTTCGACGCATGAAATTAGTTGAGAGACAAGCTATATTAAAATCGCAATATCATTTTGACTGTAAATGTTGTATTTGCATTGATCCACGTAAAGATAAGTTTTTTCAAATAGTTGAAGGACTTGTATGTCCATTGTGTAACACTGAGATTGAAGCAACTTTGTCAGATTTAGATATTAGTGACTCGGTTAATTGTAATTTGTGTCCTACTGAAAGATTTAGATCTATAGACATTAAACGGCGTTTAATCAAAGCAGAAAAAACCTATAATAAAGGTAAAAGTATAAATAAAAAATCAATAAAATTTTAATATTATTTTATTTATTTTCAATGAAATATGTATTCAATTGAGTTGTAATAATTATTAATTCTTAACAGTTAGAATAATTTTTTTGTGTTTTCATATTTGTTCTTTAAGTTGTTATATTTTGTATTAATAAAATAAACAAAGTACCTTTAGATAATAAAGGTAGAGATTTATTTTATGAAAGGTTTTTTTTAAAGGTATTCGTGTGTAATTTATCATTTTAGTGATTTTAATAATTTTTTTCTTACCAAATTAGGAATGAAACAACTTGAAGAAAATAATATTTTAAAAGCTGTTGATATTATCTCTGAAAGTTTACGACTTTACAGCCTGATCGTAAATAAAAAGAACTCAAATATTGCAAAATGTGAAGACAGTTTAGCAAAATGTTTTGCTATAATAGGTAAAGTAATTGTAATTAAAATATAACAACTTGTTATTTAATTTTTCTTTATTAATTTACAACAACTTGGTTTCATTGGTTATTGGATTTTTTTTGTTATGGTGGTTTGTTAGTTTTGTGTAACACCTTGGAGAGGCATTATTGTTTTTTACTGTATAAACATTAGTCCTCTTCAGAAAGCAGAACTGCTGATGACCAAATTTGAAATGAGGATTGTATGTTTTGACACAAAAGCCTTACTCAGTTTGGTTACAATATCCTCATGCTTTATTTATTATGTAAAAATATTGTTTGTGAAATGTAATACAAGTTTTTAATGCTACTCAAATATTTAATTTTATGTATGTTTTTTATAGAATATTTAGTTATATTATAATAACTAAAATAGTTATTTAATGAATTTGTCTTTTGTTAAATATTATTGAAGGTGACTTTGAGAACTGTTACTTGCATTTGAATAGACGTTTTAAAACAATAGAAGAATGCTATGGGAAAAATAGCTTAGAAGTTGCTTATGAATTGGAAAAAATATCAGATATAATGGTCAATAATATGGACATAAGACAAAACTGGTAACTCATTTAAATTTTTTTTATTAATTTATTTAAAAATTAAATGAGTTTGGATCCAATGACACATATATGTATATATAATTAATAAATTTAATATATATGTATATTTACTAATACATTTTCAAATAAATTAAATTTATTATTGTGTTCCTCATAGGTACTTCATTTCATATTATTTCTAAAGATTAATTAATTAAACATTTATTTAATTTGATTCTATTACTTTTAGTTAATTAAAATTAACTTTATGTTTTAAAATATTATTCATTGTTATAAATTCTTATCAATAATATTTTATAAAAATAGATGGTTATAGTATTTGATTTCATATAAATGTAAATTTAAAATACTTCAAATATTGTAAAATTATCTTGTTTATTGAATTTAATTATAGATAAAACTTTTATTGTTGAGCCATTTTAAATTGTTATTTCAAATTATTTTTAAAAAAATTCGAAAATATACTGAAGTATATGTTTAATTCTTTAAATCCCAAAAATTTGCATTTAAAATATAAAACTATAAAATATGCAAAAATATGAAAGATAAAAGTAGTAATATTTGATTTAATAGAACATGAATCAAATTTGTATCTAGGTCCGCATTAAATTAGATAAATAGAAAAAAATATGCAATTTTATAAATATCCGAGCTCTAGTTATAAGTTTATTAACAAATTTACAAAACGTATGCATTTTGAAAACATTTAAAATTTAAAATTTAAATTTATATCTTGAAATAAATAATAAAATTAACTAATCAGTGTATAACCGACCTCGAATGGTTGATTAATTGAATGTACCTATAATCAACAATTAGAAGGTTAACTGACACTTTACAACTATTCAGTATTGTTAATCACTATTTAATTAACTACTGTATAACTGGCCATTAATATATTTGTAATAATTCAATGTTGAAATTTCAAAAAAAAAAAAAAAATATTATATATTTGTATATATATTGTATGTATATTTAATAATTTTGTTATTTTGTTGGTTGAAAAAAAATCACATAAGTGTAACTTTAGGAGTTTAAATAACTGTTTAATTTAAATTAAATAACTATTAAATTATTATTATGTTTTATTTTAAACTTATATTTATTATAGTCAAAAAATAAGTACCTAGCTTTTGTTTGGTCAATTAGATATTTAAAGCCTAAAAGTTTCATTTTAAATACAACATTAACAATTGAATCATATAATTAATAGCTGCTTATAAAAATAATTGTAGCCATGGCCTATTTATTTGGGCTATTATAATTTGATTAGATATTTATTTTGATAAATTAGTAGTCATCATGGTATTATAAAAACAAAAAATTACTTTTATTCTTTTGGCTCATTATCATGGTAGATATCTTAATTTTGTGTTTTAATATGAGCTTGAATTTAATGTGAATAACTGATGAATTAATCTTCATTATAATTATTATCTCAATAACTTTTTGATTTATTTATTTTTATGAAATTCTTCTATTCCCCGAAATTAGCTCAATTAACTTTTATTAATAATCTACTTTCACATTAATGCATATTATATTAATAATTAATGATAAAAAGTATAAAATATTCAATTAGGTTGTACAGGTAGTGGTCAAATATTGAATAGTAATAATGATAAGAGGTTAATTTTTCACTTATGTACTGACACACATACTTAATAGTTAATTATATATTGTTTAATAATTGTATAAAAGTTTCAAATTCTTCTTTTGTTAAAAAATAAATACCTGATGAAAGACCTTGACATAAGGTCAACTTGTCGGTAAGTCACCTACAAGTTGTAAGCCATAATTTGTACAATCAATATTATACTAGTTATCAAAAATATTATTTTGAAATTTAACTATCAATTATCTTCACCATTATATCATTTTTTTGTAGGCGTTTAATTCAAAAAGCTTTAGTATTCGTTCGCCGATCAAAGGAAATATTCCATGCTAATTTATCGGCATGGGACATACCTTACAGTGAATCAGCTGTAGCGAATGTAAGGTGTAAAGAAAATCTATTACTTCAGTTTATGGAAGGTATACCTCAAGATCAAAGAATTAATTACAAAAATTAAGGTTACTATGAAAATATAAAAATGTATGTATTAATGTATTAATTATTATATCAGAAATTTGTACTAAACATTTTCAAAATAATCTAAGAAAAAATGTAATTGTATTTTTTGACAAAAAATATTTTAGTGTCTCCTATTATCTTTTTATTCTATGCTATTTACTTATATTTAAAAAGTGAATAGCTATTATCTCGTTTATTATTACAACAATTATTAGGTATAAGTATATAATATTAAACAATATATTTAATATTAATTTATTAATGCCATCAAAAATAATGTTGGTTTTTTGATATTTTTTCATTATTGGTTTTTTTACTGATTATATTTATTTGAACGTAAAAGAGTTAATATGTTTTTTGGTTTTATTTATACATTTATATTTAATGGAACACACTGATAAAGCACAGTCAAAACAAAACATTTTTGACTTTAGTCATGACTAATATTGCTTTATTGAAATAGAATGTACGCTATTTTGATTAGTCATAATTAAGCAGTAACTGGATGGTTATATCAAAATGATGCCAACAATTATTTATGCTAAAATATCTACAATATAAAGGTAATTATATTATATTTATGCATGCACATAATTTTGACATACTATATGCTATACGCATTATCTGAAGTTTTAAAAATTAAGTAAATAAGTATAAGGTACCATATTATGTGTATAATATTATTATTTATTTTATTCAATAGACTTATGAAATGTCTGTTAAGCATGGAATTAACCTCGAAAACTTAATATCATTAGTCCAAGGGCGTCAGTCTCTTTATGATTACAAAAACAAAATTCATTTTCTTCCTGCTCGGTAAGACTTCGGACGTTCCACTGTAAAATATTAATATTGTTTATGTTGGATTTAAGGGGCATCAATTTTGTTTATCTGGTTAGTAATTATCGTATTGATATTCTCCACAGTAAGGTTAGAGGAAAAAAAATAATAAATAAATAGTTTATTTTAATAAATTAGTTACTTAGCAGTATGTTTAAAGTTAGGGATGGCTAGTAATGAGCTTAAGGAAGATTCAATTAGAGACTGGAAAGAAAAGGGGGAGAAAGGGGAAAAAAGCGAGGGAGAATTAATTAGTTTCAGATAATTTCTGAGATAAGATGTGAATCCAAGATATATCGTTGGAGTTTATTTCCGTTGAGGGCTGTTGATTAGAGACCTGGTTTAAATAACTTCCATTGGGGGAAGAAAAAAAAGACTACGTGAGTAACCTTCCCTATTTATTTACAAATATGTAAATAGTTCACTTTAAAAATGTAAATCATGAGCCACTGAACACAGATAAACAGTTATTACATGATCTGAAATTTAAATCTTATTAGCATAAGCATACTTCCTTAAAAGTAGTCAATAATAATTTGTTAGTTCTAATAACCATATATATAACGGCTTGGATAATTTATTTCTTCAATAATATTATAATGTTAATATTTTTGTATAGAATTATCTTTGGCAAACAAAAAATAATTAAAAGAATTTGGAGGTACCTAATTTATATTTTTTGTAAAAATTGTTAAATATTCAGGTAGTAAGAAAAAATAAATTAAATGCATGCATGTACATTACATAAAATGTTGATTCATTTATTTATTTCATGCTACCACACAATTGTGGTTATAATTTTAACAGGTTAACATTTTAATTTAAATATGAATAACAGTTGAATAGTTTAAAACAAAATAAATTAGTATAATTTTGTAACAAATCAATGATTATTTTTAAAAAATCTGGTAAATACTGCAATACAAAAAAAAAAAAAAAAAAAAAGAATTAAAGAGAAATATCTCCAATAGTTTTCTGCTTATTTAATATTTGTCAAATGACAAATAATGAAATAAATATGAACATCCTCTCCGTATATTATGATTAACAATATTCAGTAACAATTGACTATAATTATAAATAAAACTTAAAAAAAGAAATTAAAAATAATGAAGACATCAAAGAAAATAATAAGAAACAGGCAACTAATATAAACACATAAATATAATCTAGAAAATACATTTTTTGTTGTGTAACTATTTAGGTGTGATAACTATAAAGACACTATACTTTATATAACTGCTTAGAATGTAAATATGTAATACCCAAAGAGTAATTTGATAACCCTGACCCTGTATTGCATGAATAAAATAAAAATCTGTAATAAATATTGTTAATATAAGTAGTATTGAGCATGGTTTCATCATAAATTGGTATAAAAGTTGCCTATTAGAAAAAAGACGAAGAAAAAATTAAATTAACATGGTTTTTAAAGGTAACTTAATGACAATGAAATAAACAAATAAAATAAATAAAAATTAAAACTAAACCGCATTAAACAAAAATGCAAAATGTGTTATATTTTATGTTTAACAAAAAAAGAGGAACTTTCAGGTCCAATTGAATCATTTCAAAAGACCACTACCCTACGCGAGGATAATAAATAAAAATAATTTATTAATTCATCAATCATCGGTCAGTCATTTGCTTAGAAAATAAACAAAACAATTATGTTTTACCATTATTTATAACTTTGCTATAACTTGTTTTAAAATATAAAAAGTATATACATATATAATATATAAATATATGTATAAGTATATAAAGTACCTATTATTTTTGAGCTTTTTACTCTTTTGACAGTCAGTCTTGTTACAAAACGTACGGAGGGTATGTTTATAATAATATTATTCACTATCATCATCTTTGTGACATAAATCTAATACTACCCTGTCAAATTCGTCCATTCGTTCATCAAAACATTTAATTTGTTCAACAATTTCAGACAAATGGTTGTTAACATTCAAATGATCAGGACGAACTCTTAATGATGGAGCTCTGAGAAATTTTTGATAGAATAATGCTAATTCAATGTTGGGATTTGAATCTGAAAATGCAGCTGGCTTAAACTGTAATGGATTGGTATCACAACTACGACGCCGACAAAAATCTTCTGGCGAATGAGGTTTAACAGACTGACCCTAAAATAAAAAAATAAATATTAATACAAAATGTGAATTTTAAATATTTTAATGGTCATTAACTTAACAATAACAGCCAAATACCAATAACAAATATATAATATTTTTTAATTGCCCAATTAAATACTTATGTATGTTAATTAAAAATAAAACAAAATACTAAAGTAAAGTTAGTTTATAATAAAATTACCAATTCTACCAAAATAAAATCATTGATGGCCTCATTGCTGGATGTATTCATTGAATGATTGGTTTTATTTTTAGTTTCATATGAATTGGTATTATAAGCAACTCCAGAATTAATTTTGTTATTTTGAGCTGATATTGAAATTGAATTGTTATTTTCATTCGTAGAGTTCTGTTGTGCTTTTGACAATTGGTTACTAGATACCATATGTGGCGGCCAATATTCAGCTCGTTTTCTTGGTTTAATGAAGGTATCTTTTGGAAATTCAGGAATACGATATAGGTTTAGTTTTTTAACTTTTTCTTCGAGACTGTCAGAAAAGGCGCCCACTGTCCAATCATCCATGATATATGCTTTTCTGGACTCTTCATCACTAAAATATAATATATTTTTAGCATAACAATGTAATAATTAGTACATGAAGTTGAATTTAATTAAGGCAATATTAATAAATTAATTATTATCTACAATTATGCACTAACTAAAAAAATTTTAGAACTTAATTTTTATTTTAGAAAACATACAAATAAAATAAAAACAAAATACATACATGGGAGTTTTGATTATTTGATTATGCCGTGGACTATACTCTTTTCGAAAATGATCACTCTTGAGCATAATCGGGTCCTGTTGAGATGTTAGAGTCATAGAGGTACGATAACAAACTGTCACTTGAATGGTTCCAATTGGCATTGACACTTGACCAATCTGTAATTCTTTATATTCCTTTCCTGTAACATGACAAGAAAAAAATGTAACATAAATATAAATTTATTAAACCTAGTTGTTTTTGGCAATGAGTATTTTCTTTTGTGATACTTTTGCATTGTATAATTTTAACAATAATAATAATATAAATAACTAAATATACTATTAAGAGTTGAAATTAAATGATAGTTTAAAACAAATATGAAAACTAATCAATCCTCAGTTGTTATTTCTATTGTGTAATTTGACCTCTAAATGCTATGAAAACAAATTTATTGGCAACTATTTGGATTCACTTCAGGTCATGACATTGTTGAATTATATATATAAAAAAAAAAATTACATTATTATTATAATACTACACAATATTATTCTAACAAATAAAATAATAAATGTTGAAAAAGTGTAATTTTTTTAATATGCAATGCATTAAAATTAACATGTAATCATAACTTGAATATATTAGTATTAAATAGATAGGATCAATGTTATAAAATATATTGTTAACTGATTAAAACTAGCAACCCTGGTAAATAGGATACACAAAATAAGATGAAATTCAAATTGTCTTCATTTTTTTACATTCATCATTCTATGAATTACAATCAGATAATATTCATGTGATTACTGTATGATGTAAAAGCTGAAACATAGATTATGCATAAGTTATATATAAAATACTGTAAATCCTTATTGTGAAAGAGCTGTTTATAGTTTTTGAAATTCATACAATTTTAAAAAAAAATTTGACATAAATAAAATTGACTTTAGTCTTGTTTTGTAATATTTATTTTACTGATAAAAATTGTAAAATCAATACTTTAAGCAGATTTTGTAATTTGTTATGCAAAAAGAAAATGTTTTAGGTTTTGTTTTCAGAGAATTAAATCTTTGAAAAATACTGATTATCTTATAATATCTTATAACTAGCTATAATATCTTCATAGCTATGTTATTCACTAATAGAAGTAATTAAATTAAAGCATGAACCACTAACAAAGATTTATTATTAGTGTTTAACTGTTTTAGGAGAGTTAATGATTTATTAGTTTTTATTTAAAGATTAAGATTTCTTAATTAATATGATTATAAAATATTTTTTTTTTTTTTATGAGATTAACTAAAATTATAAATTTTTTATGTATAAACATCATTGACATAAATACTAATGAGAATATTTAAATACATTTAAAACCAAATAATAAAGTAATATAATATTATAATATTTGAATAAAATATAATTTAAGTACATAGAACCAAAGAACTATTAAAGTTGAATATATTATTGTAAAACATATTTACCACAGTCAATTAATAAATCAAAGTAAATATTTTATAAAAGGTATAAAATAGTTATTGGAATGAATATATTTGTCTTGTGCCAGCGTTTTAAATTAAAAACAATTAAAATATATGGTAAATATGAAGTAGAAATATTGAAAATATAACTTTATGTTATTACATTACATTACATTGAATTTAAGAATTTATTAATTTACATTATATAATAAAACTACTAGTTAAATTACCCGTCGTTGCCGGGTTTAAGTATATAAATGTATGTAACCTACCAAGATTAAATTTTGTTAAATCTATTGAAATTTAAATTAATTAAGATTTTTGAAATAATATTTTATACATATTAATTTAGTTATTATCATAACCTATTCGATAAGTTATAGCTTACAACTACCTGAACCTCTCTACAGTTTGGTATTTTGTTGAATACATAGAGCATCTCACTTCTCCGAATATTTTACCTTTTGTCAATAAGTTCATGGTCTTTTTGAGTTTTAACCGAAACACTCTTGCAATTATATCATGTCGATCATATGATCTTTGACCGGGAAGTAAGAGCTCTTTTATCTCGTCCCAGCGAGGATTATATGTAAAAGTAATAAAAAGGTCAGGACGACCGTAATGTCTAACGTAGGTCATAGCATCTTGTGTTCTTTCGTGCATGTACCTTGGCCCACCAGTAAAAGTTGACGGGAGTATAACAATTTGGCCTAACTGATTAGCTTCTATGTCTCGTCGTCCAATCGCATCTTTTAAATGAATATAACTATCTGCACGCAATTTGGCTTGGTTGTTTTTGATGTAACTTAGTCTTTCAGTTTCAATTTTGGCGTATTCATCTACCAAATATTGACTGAAAAGAGAACGATAATTAACTAAATAGTTGTCTTCCCCTTCTCTGACCATTATTCTATATGAGTAAAAACTTGATGCAGAGACAGTTTTTTTAAGCGGTAACTTGGTTTTTGGATCGCGTTGTGGTATATTGATTGCATACCCATCATCCCCCCAACAAAACATTAAAGGATACTGCAGTGCGTCGTATGCTCGATGTATCTCACTGCTACGGTGAAGTGAGTTACTTCGGTTTTCGAGGATGATGTCTCTTCGATCAAACTGCTGATCTACTAACACTAAAGCAACTTTATTTGCCGTTGGTGCATTATACCTGCCTCTATGTTCTTCTGGTGGTTTTTTATCTGCATGTATTACAACTTTAAATGACTCTGAAGGAGGTATTTTATCGATGGTAAATTGTAACGATCAATTGTAAATTATGCGGTGGCATGCCTAGTAAATCCAATGAGTTTAAAAACTCTGTTGAATAATTTACAACTTCAGTAGCATCGCAAACTGTATCTAGATTTGTATGACACCAAGTTTTCTGGTAACAAATTTTGTATCTTGAGATTCAATTCGCTGACCTCCACATTTTTTGCTACTAAAATTGCTCTTTCTGTCAGCCACTCATGATTTGTGTATTGTCTATGTACACTGGGACATATCTGGTCAATGTGAGCATCTTGCGAATAAATGATTGTGCAGAAATCGTTCGGTAATTTTATACATCCCGTTTCATCTGTAGTAACTTTCCCATCTCTAATATCTAACAATTGTTTTGAGAATCTTTTGCACGCAACTTTTTTTGATTGAATCGAAATCGTTCGCTATCTATCTTTATATATATTTCGACCATGAATTGTTGACAAAGCTTATGCATCGTAAAATAACTTAGTCCTGATCGCGTATAATCATCAACCGATATGCATAATAATTTTTTGAACTAACATTCTTATTTGTTTTGGCACCTGTTGCGGGATCTTTTTGTTTAATATTCATGCAATACCCGTCATTTACTACCAAAAATAAAATTAATAGTTTTTTAATAATTTTTCAATAGTTTTATTTAATATAATTAATTTTCAATAGCGCAGTTATCGACCTGGTCAAAAAATATTAAACCGATTTCAACCCTTTAAATTCAAAATTTCGAAAAATCCTTTCTTAGCGCACGTCTACATCATAATAGCTATCTGTATGCCAAATTTCAGCCAGATCCGTCCAATGGTTTGAGCTGTGCGTTGATTGGTATTGCGTTTAAATAACCGTTTTATATATACAGATATATAACGTACAAATATTACGAAATAACTTTTATTTCAATTAAAAATAAATGTTTTTAATTTAGACTTTGGGGTCAATTAGTCTCAATATATATATAACAAATTATAAAAATTATTATTTAATAGTATAATTTATTAGTATTAAATTTACAAAGCAAAAAGTTTCCTTTGTGTTTGAAAATTGTATAAATCTTTTAAACTAGAATGTATTTTTAACACAATTAATCCAAATTATTTAAGTAGTTGTACTGTGTGTAATCGTAGATTAGATTTATAGTAGAGTAGAAGCATATGTTTATCTAGGATGACCAAAATAAAATAAATGAGGTAAGTGAAAGTGAAAACTTGTCATCATTGTAATTGACCTATAATGAATAAAATATCTGTATTTAATACCAAGAATGTTATTAAATTGTACGTTTTTTGATTAAAAATAAAAAAAATTCTGAATGTTCTAACTTTAAATAAATTAGGTACTAATTGTTTAAGAAACATCAATATTCAACATTTTTAACATTTATTTACGATTATGGTAATTATGTAAGACATAAAATGACAAGAATATAACTAGTTTTTTAAAGAACTAAATACGAGTATATTACTCCAAAGTGTATATAGAACAAATTAATAAATAATTGTTCATTAAATATGATTATTTATAAAATACAGTTTAATGAAATTTGTGACAATGATCAATAAAAAAAAAAAACTTGCTCAGGACGGAAGACATTTTGTTTAATATTCCTGTTTAATAAATTAATCTTATTTTTATGATCACAAGATTAAATAAACTATTATATTTTTATAAAGATATTTATCATAATTTATTCATTAAAAAAAAAAATTATATCTAAAAACTACGATTTTGAATTTTTTTTATTATTTATATTATATACTTGAAATATTTTAATTCGAAGTTGTAAGTTATCTATATTGGTAAATACTAAATATATATTATTTAACACTAAAAAACAGAAAAGTCATTTAAGTATTAATACGATTGTTTAATGTTTACAGTATTTACACAATTAAAAATTTAATTATACAAAAAAATCGAAGTTATTTATTTAATTCATTATAGTCTGCTTAAATAGTGATTTTTGTCATAGGCACAATTTTGGGGGGCTTGGGTGTGTGTAGTACCCTTAATTTTAAAATTAGCACCTCCAAATCTAGTCATGTTAATTTACATTTAAATAATCATTACTCATTATGTATATAAAAAAAGTATTATTTATAAATTTATAATTAAATAATGGTAGCGGAAGTTCGTCCTAACTAAAATCTGTGAAAACTAAAAAGTAAAAGTCTCGTTTATGGCGCATTTTTACAGTCTTTATCTGGTTATTCGGCTGTTTTTCTTTACGCCTGGTAAAAATAGAGATTTTGGAGAAATTACCTTTTTAAAATATTACGGCATGACGATTTCGAATTTAAAAAGTTGCTAAATGAAACTTTTGGATCAGTATTTCTAACCAGTGTTAAAAATGTTATAAAAAAATATCATGGTATAACTAATAACTAAAAGGTCCTTTGTTTCTTTCAGAACCTAAAACCAACCATTTGATGAAACATTAGTGTATGCAAACGAATAATACGTTATACGCACAATAAAAATATAAAATCAAATTGAACAATTTAAATTTAGAAAACTACTAAACATTTTAGTGATTGTTGAATTGCGGGCAATTACGGATTGCGGATGTTTATAACTAGGGCTAAGATTTTATTGCAAATGCATCTTTTTTTTCTGATTTCCAATCCACATAGGTCCATAAGAAGAAAATACGTTTCAAGTAACACTGATCAATTTAATGTAGTTTTTATGTTGTAATTCATAACAAATTTAACTTTATTTGCATTTTTAGGGCATTTTTAAAGTTTTTAGAGAATTTTTCAGATTTATCAATAAATTATTAAATAGTAGGGCATTTTTTCGCTCAAAATTTGCACGTTTAAGTGTGTTATCTACTAAATTGATAAACTAATAAGTACGAGCATATCGACTCATGTACCTATTTTATCAATAATAGGACAAAATTAGTATAGTCCAATGGTTCTCTACCGGGGTGACATGGATGCAGTATAGAAGTGACACGAAATCTTCAAGGGAAAAGGAAATAAATTAATTAATTTTAATAAAATCATACTATTGCTATAACTGTCATGTAAATATCATACCTTTAAGTTTAAATCTTTATATTATTTAGATCCGATAAATACGTGTAATATTTTGATTTGCGAAATCACTGCATTATCGATTATCTTATTAATTTAACCGGGATCGTTAGTTATTTTGCAGTAGCTAGTTATGTAGCGTTATATCTCTACAACTCTAGAAGACGATATAAGACTAGTTTTTTCCATCATCAGCCCTCGACTTCCTCAACTTTGTAAAAACCACCAGGGCCTAATTTATCATCAGTTTTCATACAAATCATTATTATTTTTTCTTTCTTTTTCTTTTTTTTTTTAATTTGCAAATTTAAACTTTTAACTGTCAATGTTTATTGAACCCTACAATTCAAATAAATTGTAGGTATACTTATTATTTTTGGTGTGTACTATGTATAAATATATTTTTTTGTTATTTCAAGAATTATTCTAAAATACACAGTTAAGATAATTTATTTTTTGATGTTAGGGTGACGCGGTGTTTTATTCTAGTGGCTAAAAGTGACATGAACGAGGATGAGAATCACTGGTATAGTCGAAATAAATTTTTCTATTTACAAGAGCCCAATGACGATCATAATAGTAAGTTATGAAATAAATTAAATTAATTATAATTAAATGTGTCTTTATACATGATTTTCTAATATCATTTTTAAATTATAATACATTTTTTTTTTTACTAATTTTTGCAGTACATTTTTTTTAGAGTATTAAAATCCCAGACCTATTTATAACCATTAAAGAATATGAAAAAATGTCTTCAACATTCCCAGTTTTTTCATTGAAATTTTGCCCTTGATTTTTGTACAGGAATTTATTTTGAAATTTGGAATTAAAATTTTTGATTTTAGAACGAAAAAAAGAAGAACGAAAGACATACCATAGCGAAAGTTTTTTTTTCGTATAGAAAAAAATACATGACTACTTTAACTGTATTATATTACAAGTATTCATAAATACTGTACAAATGTTTGTAGAAAAATAATGTGAATAACAAAATAATATGTATCTTAGGAAATTATGTCTTAATAACATAGGAATGCATTGTTGTCTCCTACACTATTCAAGGCGATACTTGATTTTTATATTATTATGCATTACAGAAATCATGAATAACAGTTCGGGTCATTATACTATGATCACGTTAAGAACTATAGACCACGAGTTATTAATCATACAAATTCTTAAATAGTTTTCTACGAAATAATATAATTTTATAATGAAAGCTATGTTACTTATTATTGTAATGATTAAAATTACATAAAATTACATATAAAAATTACTTATAGCGTTATAAAAATTTAAAAAAAAAACTAAATAATACAAACTGTACATTCATTGTTATTATCAGCACAAAAATAGAGATACATATGAAATAAATAACATTTAAGTAAAGTTTATTAAGTTAAGTTGATTGAAGCAAGTAACATTTAAAGTTTTACACGTATGCAATAGATCACGTGATACGTTCGGCGTGACATTACGCGTTTATATCCTATTCTTGAATGATGCGAATAGAAACGCGGTGGAACTAATACCATTTTGCTAAGAAATGAACGTATTTCATCAAAAAAACTTAATTTGTGTCGTGTGTTTCTTTAACAGCTTCAAGTATTCATTATTTATTCTGTCTAAATTTAAACAACGTTTAAAAAATATGATTTAAATCAGTGACGTATTTTCAAATTGTGTGTGTGAAAGAAGGAGAGGAGTGTAAATTTTTTTAAAAAAATAAACGATTTTATAATATTATAAAAAATATATAAAGGTATGAATTAATAGTTAAATTATTCTATTATTATTCAAAAACAAAATGAAAACTTATTTACAACCACATTATACAAATTAATGTTCTCTTTCTCTGTACCTTAAAAGCCAGTCATTTATGATTTCTGAATATTTTTTTCTTCTGGAGGGGAGAGGGTCGAAATTCGGGGACCTTCTCTCCCCCTCAGAAAATACGCCACTGATTTAAATTATAATAATTGTTTTGTTTTTAATAAGATGGTTATTTATAGTTAATTACCTATTAAGTTAATTTAATTACCTACTTGAATTAAGTTATCGATTGTAAATATAAATTGTATTATAATAAATGTCTCATTTACAAGACACAACACAAAACTGATGAACATTTTTTGCGTTGATCATATTTAATAACATTAACAAGTAATTTAAATTTACTTACCAAGTGCGTGAATTTGAGGTTCGCCAGCATAAATTCGATGATGAATTTGAAAAGAATCATTAGATTGTTGTCTGGAATATCGATATGCTGGTATTACTCGAGAAACTGATACCAATGATTTTAATAAAATTCCTAATCTATTATATAGTGTATAAACTAAATGTCGAGAGCAAAATGGATCAAAGGCACTTTCTGCTAATAAACCAATACTCCATGTTTCTAATGTCATAATATCTCCATCAATGGTTTTCAAAAAAATTTCTACACATAAAGGCATAGAATCTCCTCCAATTCCATTGCTTAAGGCCAGCTTTGTTTCAGTTACTACATCAGGTATCTCTTTTATAGCAACATTCATCTGAAAAACAACATTTAGATATTTATATAAGATAAATAAATAATATGAAAACTAATAATAAAAATATAATAATTGGCATTATTAATAAATAAGTTAACTGTCTTTAAAAGTCCTAAATCATGTTCCTACAGATTTTCTCAGATCATAAGATTATCAGGAAATGCAAATATATAATTTAAAATAGTTTTTCTTAGTTGAAATTTTAAGTGTCTTGAATTTATACAATGTGAGTTGAACATATAATGTAGGGAGCATCTTTATAAGTCACTAAAAAGTGAATAAAAAGGTCTGCATCAAAATATCATTTATCTTTATATAAATCAGTTAATACCAATTTATTAGATTACAATTACATTTTTGGGTGGATCTCAAGAAATAAAAGTTGGAGATAAAAAGAAATTAAATTAATTTAAATAATTTTCCAGATAGTATTAAGTTTATTAAATGTTAAGAAAAAACTTTATTACAAATATTGATGTGCATTGATCTAACATATTAAAGTGTTGTGTTAATTTAGTGGTTCTTTAAGTGTATATATTTTATTCCTACTAAAATAACTTTATTACTAAAGTATTTTTTTTTTTTTTATAACAATACCCAAGACTTTTATAACTAATATCAAACAATACTAAGTATTAATTTATTTTATACACATATAATAAATCATATTAACACAATTAAAATACTAGATATATGTACAAACCTAAACCTAGTTTTATAGCTATTTGAAATAATATTCTGTTTACTGTTTAATCCAGATTTTTGATAATCTGGATAAAGTCTAGTCTCATCAAGTCCAGATCAATGGACTACTGTATTTAAGTTTTATTTTTAAGTTCTTATTATTATAATAATGAAAATGTAAGTTCAAGCATATTTAGAATTAAAAAAATAAAAATAAATAAATAGTAATTGAACAAAGCATAAACTATACAATAGTGAACTGGTTTTCAAGGCTTTTGATATCTTGCTTAACAGGATTTAATAAGCTAGTAAAATTAATATACAAAACAAAAAAAAACTGAAAGACAAATACAATTATTTTGTAATTCCAACAACATTTCATATAAATTAAATTAATAATACCTACTGTTTTATGATTAATAAGAACATCCAAAATATGTTACTAATTTTATCATGTTAGCTCAAATAAATTTAATTCAAATTATATTACTTTTTATGTCAGTAATATTATATAAATTATAATATAAAAATTAATTAGAATATTTGAATGTGAACATATTGAGTTATATTGAATACTTAAAAAAATATAAAAAAAAAAATTACAATTAAACAGAAAATCAGGGTTATAGTATTACTGATTTAGTAGGTACTTACATTTTAGTTGCAAAAAATAATAAATGATAAATTATTATTGAGTAAGTTATTTAAGCAGCATAACAATTTACTGTAATATCTAGATAATAGGTAATATATAAAGAGCTTTTGATTGAAATTTATAATTTCACATAATCTTGGGACTGGTTGAAGACAGGTTATGTAAACTCAAGCAAAGGAAACATCAAAAATATTTAACAGCATTTTATCAATCAAACAAAATATACATATAAATAAAGATTTGAATACTTATATAAATATATGGGCAGTATAAGAAAATAAAAATTGTTTAATTTTTTTTTTTTTTTTTTTACCAATTAGGTACTTTAAAAATATATTATAAGTTATATTTATATAAATACTTGATACAAAATATAAATGCTTACCGAACTATTTTGGTTGGTACAATAAGTATGTAACTTTTCTCCCATTCTTGACTGTACAATTATTTGAGCTGATTTCATAGTCATAAGTTTTGTTAATTGTTCCATTTCTTGTCTTTCTTTCTCAGCTGATTCAGTCAATGTTCGTGTATCCACCATTTTAATTTTTTTATAATTATATAAAATTTATAAATTGAACTATAATCACTTATTTAACAACAATTTATTATAAAATGTACACAATGACAAACACTTAATAATTGTTTTGAACACATAAAGTGTCTTTTACACAAAAATAATAGTTGCTGCTCCATGGTTTTTAGCATATTATAATCTGAAACATATAAAGAGGATGTAAATTAAAAACAAATCAAAAATGTAAACAAAATTGAATAAGTAATACACATAACATTTTTTTTAAGGGATTTTCTAATAAATTTATTAGCATTACATAGATAATGAAATGCATTTTAAGAAAACTAAATTTTAATAATTATATTTTTTTTGTTGCTAAAATGTTTGTATAACTTTTAAATTTCTCGATTAAGTTTTAACAAAGTTATCCAAAGTAACTTTTATTTCTGTTTTTAGTACTAATTTAAATACATAGAATAAGGAAATGAAGCTAATTGGCGTTTCTAACAAATATACAGCTACTTTAATATTACAGATTGAAAACATCTACAGTAAATATACACATTTGAGGGAGATTATTAATATACTTGTTATTAACTGACCCATAAGAATTAATGATTCAGTTATTTCATTGCCTTTGATGCCAATGTGACTTAGAACCTAGATATATCCGATGAATTGGTGGAATGAGAAGTTGATATATCAGAAAAACATTATTAGGCTAAAAAATATTTAAATATAATATATTGCCTATATAAATTTGAATCAAAATTATATAAACAATATGAATATTATTGTAACCCTATTTACTTGACATAACTACAATGAATTCTTAATAAATTATTAAGTCCCATATTTTAATCTGAGGGAGTATAATAGTGTAGATTTAAACGTTAACCTTAGTTAAAAACTGAAAGCATTAACTTATGTGATTTGTTTTTATTTGGTTATGTATTATCATTATGTTATATATCAAAGAGCACCTATATCAGAGTATATCATTACAATTATAACAAAAATATCTTTTACTACTTATTTATCAATAAATATACAAAAATTGAAAACAAATCATATTCATTATAAGATAATTAGGAAGTTAAAATAAAGTTTGTTGATAAAAATTTAATTGTATTGACGTAGCAGCTAAGTTCAAAGAGAAGTTAATTAACCCATGAGATTTATTTATCATAAATAAAACGTAAAACATTATAACTGCTTAGTAAGTAATGATTATATTATGAACAAAATATAATATATCTATTTTTAATATGCAATGAAAAGTGAACATGTTGATACCAAAAATATTTATTTTAATAAAAATTAATTAAAAAATAATAATAAAAAAAACAACAATAATCAGGATGTATATATTTAACACACAAAATAATCACTTATTTTTCAAAAGTGATTTTCAAAAAATTTAAATGTTTTCTTAAAAATTTCTAGAAGATGACAAAATGTCTATACTTATGAACATTAACCACTACTATATTAAACTTTTAAACAATTAATTTCTAAAAATTACTGAAAACTACAGATGACATTGAAACTTCTTATAGTTTTTTTTACACAAAAATGCGAATAAACCCACCAAGAAATTGGGCACATACAGAATGATTGATATTTATATTTCACTGAAATTTTATTAAAAATTTACAACATATCTACTCCCGAAGTTTCAAACAAATTTAAATTTAAATTTCATAACATATACATTTGACTTATGTATATTTGTACTGAAATAAAAATTATAACTATAAGTAATAAAATAAAATATTATTAAATGATTAATGCTCATAAATAAATATTTAAATAATACTCCAGGCTATGCTTTCATTTATTATTTATATAATATATTTATAAACTCAATATAGGTATATTCAAGATTGTTTAGATATGGAATATACAATTCTATAAATGAACCTACCAAATTTATTACAACCCCAAAACTTAAATTGCTTAAGCATTAACAAAAAAAAATTAATAATCAGCAATATTTATTATAGAGGTACAAATTAAAAATGAATAGGTATATCTAATAGTGATTACAATAAGTACCTACATAATTACTACAATAATTTTAATATTTGAATTTATCAATTTTTTTTTTCGAGAAATACAAATAAAAAACATAAATTTAAATAAATTATGTAATTATAAGTAGTGCCTACTGTACCATAAGTTAATACCATAATATTAAGTAATTGATTAAATAATACCATTAATATTTAGACATGCCTACCTATAATTTTTCAATGTATAGAATACTTGCAAACAAGGTCACAGCTGTAAAAATATAGCTGACTTACCTATTAATATAGCACGAACAAGGTTACATACATTCTGATAAAGGTAATTATCAACTAAATGATCAAATGACAACAGTTTTTTTAAACTTTTTTTCTTCAAAATTTAACTTTCATCTTTGTTATTTATTTAAGATAAAGGAATAATAAATGTTTTTATTTTCAACACTCTTATTTATATATTTTAATACTTATTGGTATATATGATAAGAAATACCATAAAAAACTGAATTTTAAAAAACTATTCAGAATACATTTTAAAAAGGCTAAAAAATATCTAATTTATAGTATTAGTTTGAACATCATGTTATTTTTTTATATTAAATTATACTTATGGTTGGAAGTATCAAAGTGTCTGAATTCTAAGTCATGATTTAGTCTCACATTTTTACAATTAAAATCTATTGCTAGTTTGAAAGATGTAACAACATAAGTTATATTTGGTTAAAAAACTTAAAATAGGAAGAATGTTAACAACACACATTGCATATTTTTTTTAATAGTTTTAACTGTACTTACATATATATAGGTATATATAACTAGTAGATATATAAAATAATAAGGGATCAAAACAATTCGGTGATTTTCTTAGATTAACATATAATAATTATAAATCAGTTTATATTAAATTGTAAATCTACTTAACATTGTAGAAATATACGTCATATAGGTGATGTACAGGAACTGAGAAATATTTAAATAATTATAGTTCATTGGTGAAAACCAAGTATAAATATATATTTATTTTGCTATTCACTGAAGAAAAATGAATTCAAATATTATAATGCTTAATCCATTTTATCATCTATTACTTTTGTATCTATGCCTCTTGTTTATATTAACTTTTAAAATACTCATAACTATACTTATACTTATAGGTATATAACTTTTAAAATACTTATATACCTACATATCTATAGAAATATTTAAATATTTTAAGATAATAAATTGCAAGGCTAAAAACAATAAATCAGATAAGTGACAAGATTAATAGAAAATGTTATTATCATTTAATAAAATAAAGTAAATATCGGTAAAACCTACTTCTGAACTAATCAGCTGTGTAATATCATACATATAGGTAGGCACAGTTGAAAAATAATACATTGAACACATGTTTTGCAATACCCCATTATTTAATAGAATGTAGATATTTCAAACATATATTGGTAAGGTCATGTTTTATAGACATTTGTAAATTGATTAATGTTATTCATCAAAATTTGCAAACTTGATAGTGAGTGATATCAAAGTCAGAAATTATCGAAAAATCCACACATTGTTCGAATCGAAAACCATGTCATCATTAGAAACGTCTGTAGGCGGATTTTAAAGAGTCCTGTTGTGATGATAGGACGTGAACAACTAAAATTGGATGAGATGTGGCCGCATTACACAGCGCACAGCGCACAGTGCTCATAATCATAAGTCGTAATCATTTGAAGGAAAATAAAATGCCGGGATGTAGTAGTCACCATCTGTTGGCGGGTTATTATATTTCCGCAGACCTTAGTGCTAAGGTTAACCATAAAAATAATATAAAAAAAGCCGTAGGCACACACACACACACACTCACCAGTAGTGAGAATAAACAATCGCGTACGTGCACAGATCTTATTATTCGCGTAAACAACGCCACCGGACGGTCGGCGGAGACACGGCGATCGACGTTTTGGCGCCACAAATTCGAAGGCGGTCGACACGCACGCAAACCATGTAGACGGCCCGGACGAACACGAGCTCAACGTTACGGCTGTTAACAGCGCGAAGCTACACCAAAGTCAAAGGCGGTTCCGCCGTGACGCACGGCCGACGGACGAGCGCGTCACCAATCACTGCACAACAACACGCGGCGACGGCCGTTCGAGTCAAATATTATTCCGTGCTTGACGGACGGAATGTTTCACGGGCGGACGGCGGCGACACCCGTTGTCGTGGACGCGAACACACGAGCGCGCACGTTATGAACCAGACGCATGCAACTCCCGCGAACGCGGCGAACACTTTTTCGCGCGAAGACCTCGACGAGAAACGGAAACGGGGGCCGAAAGTAATCGCACAAGCACAACGGGACGGTGTCTAGACGGTCGTGAGAAACATGCTCGTTTAGCAGCAGTCGGTTTGCGCCATATCGTCGGTGCACGCGGATTGCCTACAACGCGGTGGGGGAATGTACTATAATACCGTAGCGGTGCAGTGGCGGGATCGGGGAACCCGTGGACAGGGCGGGGCGTGTGGAGGCGAGAAAAAGGAGGAAAACAACAACGGCGGGTCGCGACGACGGGCGGATCCACCGCGAGTGCATGACGTGTGCGTGCTGTCGAGACGGGCGCGGCGAGACCAATCCGGTACCGTTACGTCACGCGGAAAAATGTTTTCGCGCCGTGTGCTGGTGGGGTGGTCTCGAGTTGTCGCGCGACTGCAGATACGTCCACCGAATACGATAACGATTGATTACGTTAACGCGGATAACGTGGCGCGCCGCCACGTCTGTGGGCGTGACCGAGACACGTCGACCCGGACTTACCTATAGTATTTTTCACCACACTAACCACGGTACCTCTGGTTTTGTTCAGAAATCAACACTCTGTTAAGAGGTCGAAATTGGAACGTGTACTATATTTCGGTTCACCAGTTCTCCGGTACGGCAGTCGATTCTGTACTTTCTTTCCCGTCCGCTGCTCTGAAATCCCTTCGATCACTACGTGAAATTTAACGGCCGTTAATGATTATCACTGTAAAAAACCTAACGGGGTTGGTAACATTGTCAGACAATGCCGGTTATTACCCAGTGCAATCATTATCAATTTCAATGTGAGTATTCTTGTTAGTGGTTCGATTCCGTCTGCTGAATTACAGAATTAAAATCACTATGCTAAATGTTCGCAGAAGCCGGAATCTGGAAGCTATGCTCAGCTTAGCATTAAATTTTTGGTAGCATAGTGGGATACAAATACAGATAGAGTAGCATCTTAATAACGGTATATTTGCATCTGAGCTTATTTGAAAATCATCATTAGTAAAATGATCACTGCAAATTCTACTGTGCTGCGATGGTTAAAATTTTTTCTTATAATACGGTCAATAATTGCCAATTGTTTTTCAAACATATTGGAAACTTACTGGAAAAATTGTGTAGATTATCCAGGTGAATCTCTATTTGCATAGCCGTACGCAACACACGAATAAGGCATATTTGGTTATTAATTAAGTTTATAACTTAACATTTATTGCTAAAAGAATAACATTAATTGTAATATTTGTATTATATTCAGGTTATAGCAGAAGTATTTTGACCCCCGAAAAAATGGCGGCTATATCAGAGACACGCTTCACCTGATAACAGGAGTTCGCTATCTAGTATTGTATAGATATCTGTGCAGCAGGTCATAGAGGAAGATTACGACAGCAACTGCAGCTGCTCATCTAGAGCTGTTGATAATGAATAACATCGTTATTCGTTAACCCAAAACCTTGGTTAAAACGTCAAAACAAAAAATAACAATAACCTCGTACTTTTTCTTCCAAGTAATAGTTTGTTCCTGTTACTTCAGTAGTAACTGTTATAAATCACTTTATTGTTATTTTCCCTCATCACTACCATGCCGAAAGTTCGCAGAAGCCGGAAGCCTCCTCCAGACGGATGGGAACTCATTGAACCAACGCTCGAAGAGCTGGAACAAAAAATGAGAGAAGGTATATAAACGTTATAAACATATTCATGGACCTTGGTCTCTATGGGTTTTTATTTTTGCGTCGGATATTCTTATACTTTATTAATCTTAATTCTTAAAATTGTATTGTATGAGTTTTATTTTGAATGTTTTCACAAGCATTTATACTTTTTTCATAAATGTTATAAGTACGAAATTAATGTGGTTTAAATATTTTTATGTTAACCTTAAATACTGATGAAAAAATGATTGTACTTTTATTAGTTAAAGATTGCTTTTTGTTATATATTTATAAAATCTTAAATAATCTATTGTTTTTTTAGCGGAAACTGAATCTCATGAAGGAAAACGTAAAGTTGAAGCACTGTGGCCTATTTTTAAAATTCATAACCAAAAATCAAGATATATTTATGATTTATACCACAGGCGTAAAGCTATTTCTAGAGGTTTGTAGTGATGAGCAACAGAACATTTTGATTTTAAACTATCAATCTATTAAACATTTTTATTTTTATGTGTTGATTATTTATTTTTAGAAATGTTGCTATTTTTGTTCTTATTCAAAATAGAGGTTGTATTTTAACTATTCACTCTTTAATCAAATAATATTGGATACAATTGGTTGAAAGACCTATTAACATGTATTGAACATTAAGAATCTAATTAAAACTAGTATCAATTTTGTATGATTATATAAAAATAATTTTGATTTTGCTCATTTTGAATTGGTTAAATTGTATCAGTATTATATATATATATATATATATTACTATTTTGTTTTAAAATCATATCCATAATTAAAAAATTGTATTATTCATAATTATCTTTACATCTATCTAGTTATAAAATATTTATCAACCATTTTCATGAAATGTTCATTATAAACATTAAAAAAAATTAAATTATATTAGATTTGTCTGCAAGTATCCATATTAATTCATATTTATTAAAGATTAAAATGAAATGAGCTTTTTGTTAAATTTTTAAATTATTTTATAAGTAAAATTATATTTTATTTTTATAATATATAATCATTTTACTATACAAATATTTAATAATCAAGTTATTACTTTTTACTGTATTAATTTTAGATTTGTACGATTTTTGCCTCCAAGAAAAAATTGCTGATCAAAATTTAATAGCAAAATGGAAAAAACAAGGATATGAAAACTTATGTTGTCTACGTTGTATTCAAACTAGAGATACAAATTTTGGTACTAGCTGTATATGCAGAGTTCCAAAATCTAAACTGGAAGAAGTAATTGTTTAATATTATTTAATATACATTTATGTTATATTATTGATTAATATATTTTATTTTCAGGGGCGAATCGTAGAGTGTGTACATTGTGGATGTAGAGGTTGTTCTGGTTGAATAAAAATATAATTAGATAAATGCTTAAATTAATATTGTTATTCTTAATAATACATGTGATGAATTTTTTCCCTATTATATGTATAGACAAGACTGAAATTAAAACAGTATGCTAATTGAAATTGTAATAAATTAGAAATATTTAATTTCGTTATCGTAAAGCATAAAATTCATTCATTATTTTGATTTTGTATGATTAACATATTTTGTAATGGATAACATTTAATTTAATTAATTTTCATATTATTTGATTAAAAAATATATTTTAGTGCTGATATTTGAATAATAATTTAGACGCTTTCAGAGTTATACAATTGCTTTTAATTATAAAATAGTTAAATAAAGGTAAGTTCATTGAAAAGAGTAATAAGTACTAATCATGTGATACATTTGTACTTTTATTTTTCATATACCATCTTTAAATATTTTATTTTATAATTTAAATTATTTATTATGTATAAAGTGAAGATAATACTATAAACCTTGTTTTCTTTCCATGATTCCTCTTCTGATGACAACATTTTACTTTTGGTACATCAACTTCCTTAGTAAATTCTTATAACATGTGTAAATATTTATTTTGATTTAAGTTGGTTATATAAAGGTAAAATTTTCCTCTGCTATATGGTCATTTGATAGAATAATAATTGTTTTACTGAATTCACATTACATTTTCTATTGATTAGGTTAGTAGCATATTTGATGCTTGGTTCCCTATTGATGTTAAATAATTTAAGTTATACTATTTACAGTGGATTTATATATTAAAATATTAAAAATTACAAAACTGGTAATATAAGTAAATTGGTATAATAAATATAATTTACCAATGAAGTGGACTATGTGTTGAGTTAGTAAATTTAAAATATAGATTTTAAATTTTATGATTATAATTAAAATATAAGAAAGTATCAAAATATTAACTGTGCTTAGAGAATGATAAAAATTAAAAACATTTTGATATTATGTTTATTATTTTTATATGAAGAAAGAACCAATCGTGTTAGTGATCTTTTTGATAATTTTGTTTACGCAAAATCATAATACTCCAGTTTCAGACCGAATCAAAGCACTAACAATGAACAAACTTAGATTTAATTACAGTTTACTCTTGATTATCCGCTGTCTTCCACGGAATCGTTTACATACCCTTATGTATACAAAAAAATATATACGTATTGTATCTTTCCATTATAAATCATTATAGGTTTAATTGGGTTGTGAATTTGTCAGCCGATAACGATCAGTAACGGTAACGGGCTGCGATAGTCGATTATGCGATAACGTACATTATATATTGCATTTGATCACTTATAACGCGTATACCTATTAGGCCGCTTTAGACGATCGTGTTTTCTCGCGAGATTGGAACGCGACGTTCCATTCGTACGCGAAAGAGTGTGCGTGTAATTATAAAATCGTCATTTAGGAAAGCGTGCATGATTGTACATGTTTCAACAGGATTGTCGTGCGTGATAATATTGTCATTACACGGACGGTATATTTATACAGTTTATCGTTCACGACTTGTGCGTATACACGTAACAAATCTTAAAAACATTTTTATAAAAATTTTGTAATATATTAACTTAACATTATTCTAATTAATTGCGTATATCATTAACGTGGTATACTATACTATATTATAATAATAATTAAAAATTAATTTAATAACTGGTTTGGTGCGTTTTGAAATTTACGTCATTTTACTTAATATAAAATTTAAATTTGTTACCTATTTTTCCACTTCGACAACATGAGTGACTCAAGATATCTATCAAAAGAATTTATTATAGAGTTTTTAGAAAAATATCGTCAGTTTCCATGTTTATGGAAAATAAAATCAAAAGATTACACTAATAAAAACTTAAAAAATAGAGCCTACGACGAGTTACTGACAGTGTGTAAGAATATTAATCCAGAAGCCAATCGGGATTTTGTAGTTAAAAAAATACAAAGTTTTAGAGGATCTTTTCGAAAAGAGTTAAAGAAAGTTGAAGATTCCAAAAGAAGTGGGAAATCTGCAGATGATGTACATGTTCCAACCTTGTGGTATTATCATTTGCTGGAATTCACGGTGGACCAAGAACTTCCCACAGATAGCATTAGCAATTTTAACAATACCGGAGTTAATGATGATTTAGATAGTACAACTGGTGATATTACAGATGAGGTAAGACAAAAATTATATTTTTATTTATAATATTGTAATTTTTTTTTAACTTATAAAATAATATTATTTCATTTTCATAAAAAAAAGGATAATTGATTGACTTAAAACATACTTAGTAATCTTATATAGTTATAGGTTCATAATATTAAAGTAATATACTTGTAGGTAGGGTAAATTGTATTAGGCTCTTCCAGCTTTTAACATATCTTCTTGAAATTCAACTGATCCTTCATTATTATAAAAGTGCATGTATTTATCTCTGTTAATTTTTGCATTATCGGAAACATTTTTAGTACGTGCATGTTGTAGTCCAGGAAGTTCATTATTGCTATTCACTCTCCAATCGCCGTTTTGTAATATGTTCATGCCATCTTGTCTATCAAAATTTGTTGAGGTGACGTAAGAATTTCCACGTTTTCTTAAGAAGTTATGAAGTACGCATATTGCTAACACGGCATATGAAGCCTTTTCTGGGTGTAAGTGAATAGCTCCTTGTAATAATCTAAATATTGATGAAATAAGCCCAAATGTGTTTTCAACACAGTTTCTTGCCCTCGACAGTCTATAATTGAATGTTCTTTTTTCTTTTGTTAATTCTCGTTGAGCATATGGTTTTAAAATATTATCATGCAGAGCAAAAGCTTCATCACCAAGGAAAACAAAATTTAAATTATTTACCGTTTCATTATTGTCCGGAAGTTGTAATTTTCCTGTTTTCAAGTCCTCGTAAAAGTTAGTGAATTCTATTACACCTGCATCGGATAATCTTCCATTTTTCCCCACATCGACGAAAATAAATTCATAATTGCTATTTACAATTGCCATTAAAATAATGCTATAGAATCCTTTATAATTGTAGAATTGAGCCCCAGTGCTGGGGGGTTGCACAATTCTTATGTGTTTTCCATCAATTGAACCACCACAGTTAATAAATTGCCAACGATCTTGAAATCCCATTGCAACAGTTTCCCATTCTTCTTTCGTTGTAGGGAACTATAATAAGATTTGTTGTAAAAATTAGTTTAATTTATTTTTGATTAATATTAAAATAGCAGAATAACCCGGCCTCCCTCGTGTGCAGTGTTTTTATGTTATCTCTAATTATTATTTATTATATCACCTAATTTTATTCAAAATGGTTTATTCTGGGTACTATTTTAAAAATCAATTTTTTGTATATTATTGGAACATTAAAATAATGGTCAATTCTAGTTCTATTTAATGAACTTTTTATTTAATTTAATTTAAATTTAAAATTTAAGTTCAAAATTTATTATAAACATTTACAAATTTTATTTAAATATTTTACTTTTTAAACTAATATTTAAAGACATTTATTTTATTTGTATAGGGCTGTTCAAATACACTAATTCAAAACATAATCAATAATGATTTTAATGATGATAATACCAGAGTTGAACAAACTGCAACAAAACTTTTTACTTCCATTCCTTCTGTACCGCAAAAAAAAAAAACGTAAAGCTATTGATCGCCAAAATGATTTTTTAAAACTATGTTCAGAAGCGTTATCCAAAGATGACATCGACGAATATGACGCCATTGGGATAAATGTTGCTTCAAAATTGAAAAGAATGGATCCAACTCAATCTATACATGCAGATTTACTCATAAATAAAGTATTAACACAGGGGTTATTAGGAAACTTAACATCTGAATTTGATATTTGTAATAAGTCAACAGTCCAGCAACATTTTGAAAATCAAAATCTCAGCCAAATTCCTACTAATTTTTCAAATTATTCATATAATTATGATAGACCTACATCAAACTCTACAACTATATCAAGTCCATCACCGTCCATTCAAGACAACATAAATACGATATCAATTGAAAAATATCCTACATCTTACATACAGTGATTTGGGTTAAACTTATTTTATATTTAAATAAAATTTAAGGTACATTTTTGTTTTATATTTTTATTTTGTTATTTTTCCAGTGAGGTATATATTATGTACCTATAATAATCAAAAAAAGTAATTAATTATGTTTTATAATTTTAATTTTTCATATTTTGTATGATATAAATTATTTTATCGATGCGATTTATGCAATTTTATCTTTAATAGGAAGATCCTAAAAATCTATTTTATTTTGTTGTTTATAAAAGATATAAAATATACTTTTTTCGGAATACCAATTACTAATTCTAAAAAATAAATATTTATTACCTTCATGTAATCCATTTTTAAAGCTTCGAATATCGCTTTACACGTCTCTGGAATGATAAATGATAAACTTGGTGCTGATATACAAGTGCTAAATTTTAAATCTTCATAAGACCTTCCCGTGGCGAGATATCTGAGAGTCGCAATAAGTCTTTCTTCTGGACTTATCGCTGTTCTCATTACAGTATCTTGTTTTTTTATCTTCGGCCCTACAAGCTCTAGCAAAAACTGAAAATCTTTTGAATCCATTCTAAGATAATTTTTGTAGTCATCTGGACAGTTGTCTTCGAGTTCACGGAGAAGCGTAATGTCACTAAATTTATGGCGATTTAATTTCCAGTTTTTCACCCATTTTGAGCGTTTTTTTTTATTGTCTTTTGTTAACAAATAAAAAGCGGCACTTGCAATTGCAATTTTCTTTTGTTTTAATTTATACATGATTATAACAAAAATTAGAAATTTATCAAACACAAAATACCACGATACTACACTCTACGAGAGTTCGAAAACATGTGGACCGTAGACAAAACTGTTGATATTTTCGAAATGCCACGCGCCACTTTTATCGCGTGGGAATGTTGACATTTTTTATCTTTAGACGGACGTACTTTCTTGTCAATCCTACATTAAACGAAAGCACGTAGGATTGGCGTGTATCATATTTTTTTGGTTCGATCTTGGCGTGTCACGCGCCAATCCTACGGGACGGATCGCACGCATGGCGCGCCGTTCCAATCTCGCGAGAAAACACGATCGTCTAAAGTGGCCTATTTAGTCTTCTGTTTACTATCGACTAGAACTATTGGTTCTTTTTATTAATTTTTCATTATACATGTACATACATGTGTATCTATTTTAATAATACTTATGTAATAATAATTTTCAATTTCCAATTTAGTTTTTATTATAAAATTTAATTTTGCGGATTATCCGCGGAATTCGTTTATCCGTGGATGTCCTGCCACCCCTATTCCATGGATAATCGGGAGTATACTGTATTTAGTTTTTTTTTACTCAAAGAAATTATTGAGTTCCTTCGAATCTTTGTATAAAACATTTCTATAAATTTGATTCACTTTACAATTACTTATACAATTCAGTCAATCATATTTCTAAAGTTCTATAAATTTATTTTTTTATTGTTATTGATGATGGGCATATACGGATATCATGGATTATTCAATTCAATTTTGCCTTTCAATGACTCATTTTTATATTTGCATTAATTAAATTCTATTGCATAATTTTCAAACATAAGTATATCATGCATTCGACGCATTTAAATTACCATTGTAGTTTTATGCTTGGGTTAAACTACCTTCGGATATTACGGACATTTTGAAAAATTATTTGTGTAAATCGATTAATTATTGTTTTGGTCTATTGTGAACATTAAAAAAACATATATTTATCACTTATATAATATATATATATATATATATATAACGCAAATCCATTATTGTGGGCTTTTTTTAATTAACAGGCCAAAAAGGAGTTTAGAAATAATAAAAACGTTTAATTTTACTCGAAAAATATATAAATTATAATCATGCAGTAAAAATTATAAAAAAAAAATCACATAATGATAAGATCAATGTATTTCTCACTTCACGAAGAATATAAATTTAATGTGATGAAGCCCTTTGGTAAATCATGAAGGCTTAGTCCTGTAATAATATAATCTGTGTCTACAAATATTATGTTTTAAACTTTTATGGAAAAAAATTAAATCGGTGACAATTTTTAAGATTGAATTATTATAATAGTTTTCCTGAATGAAATTCACTTATCCAATTATGAAAAAGTCTTATTGAAGGAGAATTATCAAAGCTTATATTTATTTTTATTACTTTGAAACATTTTTAAGGTATTTTTGAAAAAATTCTAATTCGTTGCTTTGTATCACGTTCTTGAATTTATTTCAATGACTTAATAATAAAAAATACAGACTTAAAAATATTTTTAGTAACTTACTATTAATTATTGTATAACTAGTTCCAGTGACGTCTATCCTGTATAATCTATGTGTTGTTTTAGAAACCATATGAAATAAGCCAAAGTTTAATTTTCTAACTTTTCTTGAAAATATACTATTAGTCTTTGTAATGAGTATGGTAAAACACAAGAGCGGATCCTATATATTTTTATGTTCGGGACACTTAATAGGAGAAATTATATAAAATAGCTGATCAGAGGTATTCGTAGAAGTTTTTTGGGGGGCTTAGACTCCCTTTCCAAAAATAATATGACAATATTGTACTAAAACTGTCAATATTTGTTTTTATTATCTATTATTTAGTTCTTTTGAATATATAGAACCTACGTCTCAAAGTGATCATCCGATTTTAGTAAACTATAAATATTGTTCCTGTAGCTTGTGGTAAATGAAGCATTAACCATTTGAATGGTAGGAATATCGATTACTGGTAAGTTGTGATAAAATGGACCTCAGCCAATTGGTGTGATTTAATTAAATGTTAACCAACCAACAAAAATAATTGTGTGCTCCGTTTCAAAAAGTATGAATCTGTTATAACCGAGCAGCATGATTTCTGATGAAAGCTTAACATTGAACCTCAAATAGTCCAAAGTATTCGAAGATGACATAAACCTTCTAATAAACTAGTTACTTATATAAAGAGAAGTATCAGGTCGAACAAGAATTTCATATGAAAATTTTGAACAAATTCAACAAAGTTTCGTAAGAATTTCACAGAAATCAGTTTGTCATGCATCCAGAGAACTTCTTATTTCACAAACAACAGTTTGGCGTATTTTGCGGAGACATCTGAGATATAAAAAATTATAACAATTATGTTGTTACAGGCTCTCCATGACAGCGATATGCAAAGAAGCGTTGGAGGGCGAAGAGTTAGAACAGTTTTCCCATCGTATCATTTTCATTTTAAATATTATACTTAAAACTTAATATAATCGACACATTGAACATTTATAAATAGTATGCATGTAATTGATTAACTTGTAGAATTTATCTTGACCTAAATATTAAAATTTTACAATAAATATAATTTCTTGAAATCGGGTGAATTATTTTGAAACATATTGTAATATTATTTTATTGTATTATTAATTTTAATATTATTTTTTCCGACGGGATAAAAAAAATCAATAATATCTAGGGAATAACAATTTTCAGTAAAAATAACATTTTGTAATTTTTCAAAATTATAATTTAAGGAAGCTAAATTATGTTCTTGCCCACTATGCGTGAGTGGCACTTGCCCCAGCACCCTTCTTGGATCCGCCCATAATTAATAGTAAATGAAAAGAGACAGATAATTGAATTGTTAGACGGCCCTCAGTTGTACGTACCTTCCCTTCAGCAACACACATTTTTTAAGATAGCTATCATTGATACTTACTAATAAAATTATCACAAAAAAATTAGTTCTCATATCAAATTATTATAATAAATATATAACTCTTATTAATATAACTTAAATTCTAAATTTTATACGAAGTTTAAAATTAAACAAGTTCACATTCTATTTATTATGTATTCTGAATAATAACAATTCCTATTTTAAATATTATCACCAAAAATTTGCGGAGATTGCATCTTTGAATGTGAATCAATCAACACGTTTCTAAACAATATTTAAATAATTTATTCCTTTATTACTATATGCATTATAAAAAAATAATATACACATAAGACTCAAAACATGTAAACTGATTCTATTACAGCATGAAGATTTAGTATTATATTTTTTATGGTAATTTATAGACCATAATTATGTAATTAAATTCTATTGGACGATATCATTTTAAATTATTTTAAATATTTATTTTTGAATGTTAGACAAGACTATAAATATGCTTATATGTGTTTAGAGACATTATTAATTGATCCATACTAAAGAAATACTTTACAATAATACCTATTAATTTATATGCACACAGTGACATAATCATGCAAATTGGGCTCGATAGTGAAGTTTTTAGTGAGAGTCCCTATTATAAACATAGTGAAAGTGAATGTTAAGGGAAACACCGGCAGCCTACGAAAAAAGATTCAACCCTGAAAAAATATAATATTTGAAAGTATTTCATTGATTATTAAATAATTAGCACAAATTATATTGGTAGAATCCCTAGTTAGGAACCACAGTGTATAAATTATATCGATGATAAAAAGTGCTCACTTTTGAACCTTTTTTTATTTCGGGGGAGGGGAGGGATTAAGACCCGTGACCTTCCTCCTCTTTCGAAAATACGACACTGGTTACAATATTTCGATTTTTTGGAAATTAATTTAATTAAAAATATTTTTATGTATTTACCATGTAACAAAGTTAAAAATAATTGAAAACACTATACTAACATTTGAATAAAAATTCATAATTTTCTTCATTTAAGATATATGATTTTAAGGTATTAAAATACAAAATAAAATACATTATAGACTTTAAGAAAAATAAATTTATTTAATAATTTTTGAATGAATAATTTAACAGTTTATTTGTTTGAATTTTTAAACGCCTAGATATCAATACATATTAAAATTAGATTAAAACTAAACGTTGTAACATAAAAAGTAATCCCCTACACTAGAAGGAAGCTTGCATCTAGGGTGCAGTAAAGACAGATATTTTCAAAATGTATTTGATATTTTAATTTAATTTGAATAGATATTTTTTTCATATAATTTATTATATTAAAGTAAAATAAAAATGAGAAAATAGCAAAATTATTATTTGATTTACTATACCCGATCAGAGACAGTCAAGTCAGCGACGATTTTGACTGATCAGTCAAATGTATTTTACACATATCAGTCGCCGAGACCGGTCAGTTCCGAGAAATCGGGTCAGTTGAGTCTGTTGTACGAAACACGCGTTTACATATAACGTATTAAATATTTTTTTGCATATTTTTGTTCATTTAATTTAATAATATTAAAATTACAATGTGAATATGGCAAATTTTACTGACGAAGAATTATGTATTATCGCGATCATTTTAAATGAGGAAACCGAAGAAACGAAAGTGCATGAGGCATGGCAAAATAGAGTTTTTGACACTATATATGTTCATATATTTTGGATTTGAAAGATCGTACAGCACTTCATAGTATCGAACACACTCGATGAGTTGTTCATCATCCATTTCGCCTACAATTCTTGTCCATCAAAACAGAAAATATCGTTGACGATAATTCAAAAGTCCTCGGATCTGTGATTGAACGGATACTGAAGGATTGAATTCGGATCGAAAACTGATGAGTGTAGATGACGCAATATAAATTTAGCGAAACGTTATTTTCCAAGATTGACACTGACCCGACTTCACGGAGCTGAACCGTATCGTGACTGATATGTGTGAATAGACCTTAATTAAAATATATTTAAAATTCAAATAAAAATACTATACTCTATTGAAACTGTCAGTAGGTAATGAGTACAGATCGCATGACTTTTTTTTATCTTGGCATGATTTTGTTGGAGGCACATTCAACCGGAGGACAGTGCCCAGCCGGCCCCTTCCGTAAATACGCCTATGTATTATGGTATGATAATAGTTATAATAATGTACTTGTGTACTTATAATTTATAAGGAATTATGATTTTATAATTCAGTAGTGGTTGTATAGAATGGTAATAGGTGGATCATATATCCTCTTTGATCTCTATTTTTTTTTCTTAACTTCAGATATATAAAATATTTTTTCTTTTTTAATTGGTTTTGGTGAAGAAGCTGATTATAAAAGGTTAGTTAAGTGTTATAAGTACTTAAATACTTGTAATTATTAATTTTAATTTTTTAACATTTAGAAAAAAATATTCCATTAAATTATATTTATATATGGATGGCATATGTAATAAAATTTGACATCAATATTAATAAAAAAATATGAAGCATTTTAGTCCTTAATTATTATTACAAGCCTTAATTCGCTCTCCTTTCTAGTCAACCTATGATAACCACCACTAGGTACCGATTAACTATTTTACGACTAGCTTAAAAGTAAATATTCTATAGATAAATATGGAAATATTTTAATAATATGGGATTAAGAGCTATGAATTAACCAGACTTAATTCGAGATTTTGTTATGTTTATATTATTTAGATCATAAATAATAATTTATATAATATATCTCTGTAATTTATTCAACTGAAAATTTTAAATTAAAATGTAATAAAACTGACGTATTAAATATAATGCTTCCAACATTGTAAAAATTAGGCATTAATATTGTAGATCCTAAAAACAATATATTACGTATTATATGTTAGTCTAATATTTAAGACGTAGATACCTAATTCTTATCTAAAAACTATTAAACGAATTTATTTTGAATAGCTTTTCGAAAAACTAAAAGACGATTTAAGTTTAGTCCTTATTCTCGGCGAAGACCATTTTGAGTTTGTATTAGTGGTAAATGCTATTTCTTTCTGCGATACACCTTCGTCCACCTCGTCTTCTTCGGTTTTAATTTCCATTTTCTGAAATAAAATGATAGAATAAAAGTAAAAACATTTTTATGGAGAGTATGCAAATAACTGTCCATACCTGTATAATAAGGCGGAGGAAGGTTTGTTGGTTTTCAAGTGAGCTTGTAATTGTTTTCAATCGATCTTTGACTTTGTCTATTTCGTCAGCTAAATGATTTTCATTGTTCTCCAACACCATTTCGACAGCTGTCGATAATATTAAAAATCAAATAATATCAATAACTACATATTTTTAGCTACGTTTACACTTATACATTTAATAAAGATAAAAATAATTGCATTTTGGCATGCATCTCAAGTTCGAAGTTTGTTCGTCAGTGTAAACGCAGCGTTACTAAATGATTAAACTGCAGCCGCGAGCGACTAACCGTAAACCTTAGCGGAGTAGCTGAATTTAGGATTGTTGGAAATCTTACCGTCATCGGAAAACGGGTTACAAAACCATTTTCGCAAGATTAAGTCCAAAAAACCCATTTTCGTTTTTCTTTCGTTAGGATATTCGATCTGTTCAGCTTTATCGATCTTCTCCAGCAACACATGTGGCAATTTGCGCTCGAGTTCAGTGTGTAAGATGACCTGAAGATAATTAGATCGATAATAGAAGTTCTAGATTTTGTAGAGATAATGATAAATTAAAGGATTTAAAATATTTATCGTAAGTACAAATTTTAGTTAATTTTATAGTTGTACCGCATATAGAGGTAGTTCAATTGCATACATTTTTTAGTAACATACAATTAAACATAAAATCTAAATGAATAAAATGCATTGAAAAAATAGAGCAAATATGATAAATTATAAATGCAAACTTATTGAATCTAATTCAACAATTAATACAATTAATACTTTCAAAAAGTTGTTGTATAAAGATGGTTTATTTCTTAGTTCAAAATATGAACTATTTAATGTTCCAACATTATTTCTTCTATTAATCTATCGTTGAATCCGTAGTTTTTTTTTTTTTTTTTTTTGGTGCCTTTGTCTCTTTTTTAAGATTTTTTTTGGAAGCATATCACAAATTACGAGTATAAATATTCTTTTATTTTGTTGAATCTATACTGTTTTGTCAAAAATAAAAAAAAACACTTCTACTCACAATCAGATCAATTTTTAAACTAACAAGATTTACCATAATTGCATACAAAGGTATAATATTTGTAAGAATATTAATGTAAAGATAGATTTGTTTATTACTATTCATATTCTCATATGATGTATATTACAAGCAAATTTAGAATGCAATAAATTGCAATAGTGTGAACCTGGTACAAGAATAGCCATTCAAATTTATTTTCACAATTATGTAGTATATTTAAGTGGTATTTCGGTGATTCTTGTAGCACGGATAAAAGTCTATAACTACAAAATTACATTAAAAAAATTGGTAGTCCATCATACGAGTATAAAGAAGGGATTTGTAATTAAATGATTGAATTCAATAAAAGCGTCAAAGTATTTGATATACTTAAAAGATTTCATTGCAAAATCAATTATTGTTTTACCGAACATTTTGTAGTTAAGATGTTTTAAAGTTCGCTTTCAATGTAAATATCATTATATAAATTTTCTAGCTATATTGAGTATTATGTTTATATTTAGAAATATTGAAATTTATAAGTAAGATCCTTCGAATTTTTACGAGTATATCATTGATTTTGTAAAAAATTCATAGGACTATAGAAGTCTAACTTTAAAGTTATCATATATTTCTCTGAAATATTTTTTTATGCGTAGAAAATATTATAGGTACTATGATATATTTATTTTTTGATATTATCTACTTATATATTCAATCTTAATTATTAAGAAGGAAAAAAATGTAGTATTTATGTTTTACTAGTTTTAGACCGAAATCAATTTGTTTCCGACAAAATCATGTTTTTGCCTCATAAGCACAAACATTTTCAACACACAATTGTTGAGAGCAATTGCTTGCAATCAAGTTACTTTACTTTGATCATGTTTACACATGGAAGTTTTTATAAACTGAAACATTTTAACATGTACATATCATAAAATGTATACAAATATTTGCAAAAGTGAATTGATAATAATAGGTCGAAATTAAATTTATTGTAACTTAGTTTGTTATTATCTACTACATACACTCCTTATAAATAAGTTTTAAATTTGTATAGTTAATTAACTACGTGGATGTTATTAATTTATTAATCATTATTGTATATATAAAATTATATTATTCATAAAGAACTGAATAACTTAAGTTAAAAAAAAAAAATTAATTTAATAAAAATCTAAAAAGTAAAATCAATTTATTAAAGATTACTAAAGATTATAGAAGGATATTACAATTTCGTATATATTTGTTGAATATAAATTACTAATTTATAATTATATCTTTTTCACCTTTTTCTCTTCTTTTGTTTAGTTCTTTGCGCAGATTTGACATAAATTCACATAATTGCTCAAAAAATAAAAATGGCAATAGTTGTATCTGCTGATTTACTTTTGTAAAAACTAAATTGCTTACTGATTCGGGTGTGATTCAATGCATCCAATAAATTAAGTTCTATGATTTTTTGAAAATTTTAGTAGTACCCTTAATTATTGATGTTATACCTGTAAACGGATTTCTAAATTGTTTTGACATACATAGATTTCCAAAGACTTAATAGCAATATACATTTAAAAACAAAGTGGGAATGAAATCCAATCCAGATATCGGGTCTAGTTTTAGTTATGATAATTAATAAATTACTTTACAAATAGGTAATAAACCATTATTAATATCTATTTAATTTAGTTTATTCATAGTGATGTTATGATTAGTAGTATTTTAAAATTGCTTATAAACTGATTAAAAATTTTAATCTAATGTTTTCAAAGAATTGTTATCAGACACTTGACCATTACAATGCATAACACTTGGAAGAAAATTTTCCGAAATAAGCCTCTTCATATAGGCTTAAAAGTTTTTTTGGATTAAGAGATAACTGATTCTGTATGTAGGTAAGATAATTTACTAGAGCTTAGTAGTTATTATACTAAAAAGCATTACAATTGATTACATTATTGTTAAAACAATATCCAAAGTTGCATTTAAAAATTGTAATAACCTTTTTTATTCACCAAAATAGCAATTTAAAAAAAATTGTAAAATTATTTTTTACTAAGACTAATATATTACAAATGTAAGTTTTTTAAAAAATATTTCAAAATAAAAAATGTATATTAATACTGGATTAGTGGTTTTAGTCTGGTCTTCCAGGAGCCTACAAACAAAATTATCAACATTTAAAAACGTTTTATTTGAACAATTTTTATCTTATTTTCTTATATACATTTGTGTGCCTATCTCAAGAATGATTGCGCTGCACGATAAATGATTTATTTAAGTCCTCAAACATTAAAGATCTTTGATTTGCTGTATAACTCGTGTATCGTCTTATCAAATAATACTTGCACCATTGTCATCATAATCGACAAAGCCCGAAATAACCATACATTATTATTTATTATTATATTATTCTAATATATTTTAATATCTGATGGCCCCCATCGTTATTTTATATCTTACGAAAAAAAAAAAATTAAATCATATAAATAATATTTAAAAGTATCTAAAATTGTATTATAAATAAAAAAAATCAATCAAATGTCAATCGAATCGAGAAAATGCAGAAAATTGCATTAAGTAGCACTAAAAATATTTAGATTTTAATTCGTACTTACATAAAATGAATTTACAACCTACTTACCAATAAATCCAAATAATAGGAAAAAATATGCAAATGTAACAACTTCCGAGATCTAGTAATTACGCTAACAGTCATTTGTTAATTTTGTATATTTTTTTTCTAGCATCCGAAAATATCTGATTATCGTTTTGATTTTTTGAAATTTGATATTGAACACACAAGAGAAAGTTAAATTTTATTATTTTCAAATTTATGAACGTAAATTCATATTTTTAAAAATATGTATCTTGAATGTATGCTTGAATTCGAGTGAGATCGCAAGTGTCTCTTTCGATAGATCCAAATAACTTATTGTAATACGAAGGCGATTTGGATATCAATAACATAATGAGTAAGATAATAAATTATACGATACGAGTATGAGTTGAAAAGTGCAATTGATGTTTTTATCAATAATATTTTATTAAAATAAATCTTATACTACTACTATATAAGTACATATCTACGAGAATAACTTAGCATAATAATACTTAATGGACAATAGCAAATATACATTGTAATGCCTTGTAGGAAATTATTGTTTGTGTTAATTTGAAAAGTAAATTAAAAATTAACTTTATAAATTTAAGTATATTACCACGTAAAAAAATAGCATAAAAAAGGTTTACGTTAATATAGTTTCATAGGATCATTTTATTAAGCTATTAAACCGTTCCTCATGAAGTAGGTATAGTAAATTAATAAAATAAAATGTGATTGTAAATTATCTTACTTGCATTGCCAGTCTTTTGAGCTGCGCGTTTCTTCTGACAGATTCTATATCTCCAACAGCCAAACCAATGAGTAGATTCATCAGCAGAATGGGCATAAGAACCATAAACACGCCGAGCATTAAGAACACGGGTACTGGGTATGGAATTGTTCTATTTTGGCCATTTTCATCTATCTTATACAGTGGATGTATATAAGTTCCAAGCAAGTCAATTTCACCTAACATCATTGCAAACGTCCGCAATAATGACATCGGTATCGTACTGAATGCCAAATGACGACCCTTGAAAATTATATTTTTATAAAACTAGATTTGTATTAGATAAAATAATGTTTCACCTATGTGACATGCAGGATTACGGTAAAATAATTTCACCTATACAACATGCAGGATTACGATGAAATGTATTAAAACCTTAATTATGGATGACTTACCCTTGATAGTAAAATGTAGAATGCTAGACCAAAAGCAGCAATTAGTATTGAGAATAAGAGTAGTACTTTGATCAAGGTTTGCAATATTTCGATAAACATCACAACATATATCCCTACCTGATCGAATCTAATAAAAAAAAATCACACGCATAATTTATTCCCCGATCGCTATTTATAATACTGATATTAAGCTTATAGGCTGATATTTTTTAATGATTTACTGGATTTATTTTACTTAAATGACTTGCGTGAATGTCCAGTTTGTTTTACTCACGGAGTCATTTTATTTTTATTTTCTTCGAAATATAGTTACGGTATGTTTTTTTTTTTTTTATACGGTATGTTAGTTGAGAGAGTAGTACAATAAAAGAGAGTTTAAGATTAAATTAAAAAATCAAGGCTTAATAGAAAAGGAGTCACCATGGTTTGCAATAGGCAATAATCGAGTGAAGGACGAAGGATCCAGATATTGAGCAGAGGAAAAAAGTATGGAATAGTATTAATGGTTGTAAATAGCGTGCGAGCATTCAAAAGTTTAATATTGAAATAAATTTAAAAGATTCGATAATGTTATGAAAAAGTTAAAAAATGGGAAATATTTGATTGATTTATACGATCATCAAGGCTAGGGAATTATACAGCGTGAAAACAGGAGTATAATCGTGTGGAAGGTGAGCAAATTAAGGCTGAAACATTATTTTCTGACTATTTCTACTATAGTATGATCTGAAAATATCAAAGAACTGATGTATATTCAAGAAATGGGAGAACGAAAGAACACTATATAGATATATAAGAGAAAACTTTTGAAGAAATTCTTTTTTAATGAGAATGATAAATCTAAGGAATTTGTTAAATTTACAAAAAATTGTTTAATTTTCAATTTATAAGAGATGTATGAAACTTGAGTTGACCAAGTGGAGTTATTCTATATAACAGATATCAGGTTTTTTTTTTTTTTTTTTTTTAATGCAATTGGGATTGGAGTTACCCTTCGGCGTCATCAGTGAATATTGTTTTAAAGGGGTTAGAGAAGTAATGAATTTGAAAAGATTTAACCGATTTCAAAACATTAATTCACTTAGCAGGCCGGTTTGAAGTAGAGTTTGTAGGTTGGAGACCTCCTGACTAATAATAAAATATTAATATTTCAGTATCATTCGTCGTTAAACTGAGTTACCTTTGTAGATTTAGAAGCAACGTGAACCAACTAAGGAATACAGTTATGCTGGCAGAAGATATTTGATATTCTAGCAAACAGTTAGTCAAATTCGGTGCTATCATAGCTATAGCTGAAAAGTATAACAATATTGCCACTACATTGGTGGGATCCAGTAGGTACGGCCACCCTTGCTGATAAAATTGAATGCCCTCTCGCGCGCTGTTAATGAATACGTAGATGACAATCATGACTGCTACTGTCTTCAGAGTGGCCGCATTTGTCTGAAAAATAAAATAATCTTACTAATGCAGTTAATAAAATTGACTTGGTATACAAAAGTGTATAATTTTGCTAGCATACGATATTGTTCTCGACAGTTAGCAGAGCGTCATTCGTGATGTTGAACGACGAATTGTGGTTGTAGACCATCAGTTGAGATGAAAACAGAGTGACGGATACCAGAAATATCGTGTAAAACAATAAATGTGCTAGGTGAAAATATTTTCCATACGTGTTCCATTTCATTTGTAAGTATTTTTGACTTAATGGGTGTGCCAAAAGTTCAACTCGTCCGTGGACGACCATTGCCTGATTTTATTAAATAATATGTTAAAATATTAGCCGTAATATGGATAAATAAATAAATGAACACAAGACTCTTTCATACGTTTAAGGCAGGCAGTGGAGTGGGTTTTATTGTACCAGTAGTTCCGCATTTTTGTACAAACGGACATTGAAGACACGAGAACGAATACTTAATCTGAAATGAGACATCAGTTGGTGAATATTTTTACCAATGTTATCACCATTGTTTTACCCACATAAAACTGTTTGGAGTCTTTTTTACAGTTGGCTTTCGTGATGCATTTGTCTTGTACAGCTTCAAACACACGTGGCATGGATGCGATCAGTGCTAGCGTAACACAAGGATGTCTGTCCGACTTCAGTGACATTATTTCTTCAGCTCTTTAACGATAACATGATTTTATTTTCATCCAAATGCACATAGTACAGCATAATATTAAGGTTTTGAACAATTTACCTTGAATCGTGAGTGACCATCGATAGTGCTGCTTCGGGGAATTTATAGTATATGGCGTAATCGATTGCACTCAAGTCCAATGAGTTGAACAATAGTTTACAGTTCATGTGCAATAACAACGTAATAGCATTGGGTTTATTTTCCATAGTTGCCAAATGCAATGCTGTATTTTTATCTTTGTCACATTGATCGAGTAAATGCGAATGCACGGAATGCAATAGCTCTATGGTCTGCGTGTAGCCGCTCATAGCAGCTAAATGCAGAGGATTCCGACCTTTGTGATCCCGGTGCAGTAAGGCTCCCCTGTTCAAGAATAATTGCACCACTTTCGTATGACCTGTGGACAGACACATCTTTAATACACGTTAATCAAAAATCTATGCAAATCAAAAGTCACCTTGTTGAGACGCTATGTGTAGCGGTGTTAACCCTTCGCCGTCCGATTCGTTAATGATAAAAGCCCCTTTTTCCGAGTTCAACAATTTTTTGACGATATTATATCTTCCATACCTTGCCCCAAAATGTAATGGACTCTCTCCGTTGTAATTCTTTATATTAACACATGCCCCTAACCGTAATAAACTTTCCACGCTACGAATATGACCACCTCTACTGGCGTAATGTAAAGGAGAACATCCGGTATTGTCTTTTTCGTTTAATAACATTTCTAGAGCATCTTGATTATTTGCCTGTAAATTTAAGTTAATTTTTTTTATACATTGAGTAAAATCATCAATTTTAATTAAAAAAAAAATCGAACAACAACAGTATTTATTTTGAAAATTGTATGAAATAACAAAACATTTTAAATTTGATAAATTAGTCCATAATATTTTAATACTATTAATAAATAACTATTTAAAAATCGTCTAGTAAATTATATTCATTATGTGATTAATTTATATTAATATAATAAATATTGCAAAATGCAAGTAATTAAATCAGAAAATATTAATTATATTTTATTTAATTTCACGTAATATCACTATTATTTTATTTGATTTATAAATAAACACTGGAAAACATTTAATTTAATACGTAGTTAATTCTTTTAATTACTGCGGAAATAAAAAATTCAAATGGCACGCATACAGCAAGAAAAAAAATAGAAAAATAGCATGTTAAAGTAACAGATTATGTTGATAAACTTATTGTGTTCCTTGATCTCGATAAAAAAAAAAACACACAAACAGTTTGTACGTATAGCTTGAGTAAACTAATATAAAATTACCATGGTAATTTCGTGAGCAAATTCATCAAGTCTTCCCCCGTACATAACTACCAAATGTAACACATTCCTTTTACCGGAGTCTTTCACTTGAACGTCAGCACCTAATCTAATTAAACTTGTAACTGTTCTCCAACCTGATCTACTGGCAGCTAAAAGTAACGGCGATCTACTCTCCTTGTCTAACGCATTAATATCAGCTCCCTAAAATTATTCCCAAATTTATCAAAGGCCCGTTATATTTAGTACGCGAGATATAATATATAGTATATAGTTTACCTCTTCAATAAGATATTGGACGATTTCAGATCGATCGAACATGGCAGCACAGTGAAGTGGTGTCATTTTTTGTGCATCACATGAACATAGGCACTGATCCTTTTCGGCAGGCTGTAGACCGAACATTAACCTAACTATTTCAATGGCCCCCTGTGCACAAGCTAAATGAACCGGTGTGGACAAATCGTATTGTTGCGTTGATATCTTAGCTCCAGACTTCAAACACAATTCCACAGCCTGGAAATTGTTAAAATTTGTTAATAGGGTATATTATATTTAAATATTCAAATATAAAGTATACGTCAATTTACATTACATGTATATTCTGTAATATTCTGAAATCCGAGTACAACTATAATATTTAAATGTACCGACTAATGTCATTGCATTATATTATAACAAATACGAGGGCATTTCAATCATAAGAACATCTCAATATTACATTCCAAAAGTACTGATTCATATGTTAACATATGATACATAAAAAAATTATCAGAAAAATTATGTATATAATATAGTAGAAAAGTTTTTGTAAAATGTATTTATGTTTAATATATTTTTTGTGAAAAAGTAAAAGTAAATCTAATTAACTTCTGATTACAAAGCTTACGTCCAATAACAAAAAAAAAAAAAAAGATAAGTAAAAAAACGACGTTAATTTATTTCATGACACGAATAAAATATATCGTAAAAAAACGACAATGATTTTGGATTATGGTAGAGAAAAGCAAGAAAGTTCTACTATAATTTTAATTTGTTAGAGACAATACGGTAAATGAGATTTTAATGAATTAATAATTAATATAAATTAAAGTACTATAAAAATGTAAGACTCCTAAGTTAGGTGTGATAACACGGTTAGGTGAGATCAATAGATGGATGGATAGTATTATTGTGTTGGTATTTTGAACTTGAAAACAATGTATAAACATTCTCGAAAAAACGATATTGAGTGAAAGAGATCTATTGATATTTTTAAAAATGGTTGATATAGCAGAAGAATAAAATTCCTTAAAAATTAGGTTAGGTTAGAGTAGGTTGAACTTTTAATATTTTAACTTTCATCTAACAAAAGAAATAGATAAATAAAATTTGGAAAAATAGAATATTTTCAGTGCATATTAACAGCATAAACTTTATTCAAATAACTCGAATCTATGAAATGTTTTTATCTAAATAACTAACATCGATTAATAAAAATTCGTTGAAAAATGTCTGTTAAAATTTAATTTTGTAGCACTTATAAATAGTTTTTACGATTTTCTAATAATAATTTTTTTTTCAAGCCTTAATTATAAAAATTAAAAATTTTATGACATTTTGATTCCAATAATGTAACGAATTTCCGCGGTTTAATAGTTTTGTCGAAATTTAACAGGTATTTAAATATTTATAATGAAACTTGATTTATTTTCTTTAATCAGTAATATAAATATTTTAAAAACCTTGTTGATTCCATGTTAAATTTCAAACCATCCCAACTTCTTCATCAAAAATATGTCTTCCTTTTCTCTTCCTGGTAATGTTCAATGACGTATAAAACGTAACTGGTCTAGTATTTTATTTTTACCTCTCTTAGCTATCAAAATTGCTTATTGTTTTAATTAAAAGATTGTAATAAACTACTCGTATTATTGAAAAAAAAAAATTAACTTTGTAATACATTTTGAAGATTATCTGTCAAAACAAAATTATTCTATCAACATTTTTAAAAATAGCTAAGAAACAGGAACATTTAAACTTTCTATAAATAGATAAAAAATGTTTTGAAAATTATGTCTAAATCAAAAAGTGATATAAGCATTCACTGAAAATTACAGGTCGATTAGATTATTATTGATTATTATTATTTAATATTATTATTAATTATTGATTAAAAATAAAAATAAAAATTTGATTTTATCAAAAACTGATAAGCTGTATTTTTTACAATTTTTTGTCAGTTTTTTTACAATTATTAAAAAAATTGTTTGGAAATTCGTAAAATGACAGTTCTATTTATCTTATAAATACAACAAACATGTGTTTGAATGTTAAGTGAAAAAACTCATACTTTTTGCTTACTTTAATTTTATAATATTTTTATTTTAATTCGAATTAGTTTGAAATGTAAAATAATTTTTAATTTTGTTACTTTGATGGACAAATATTTTAATTTAGTAGTATATTTTATTTTGTAATTTATATGTGTTAAATATAGAAAAAATATACCCATTTTAGGTTCTAACACTTTTTATCTATTTCATCTACTACGAATAATAAATGCAAAAACTCTTGTGAAATGTAATCTTAGTCCTTCAGCTTGATACTTTACACCATTTGACTTGCTTTTCAATCATTGTGTTTGTATTTTATTTACCTTGAAATCTCCGCTATGCACTGCGGAATGGAGTGGCACGTTGCCTTCGGCATCGAAAAACGATATCATTTGATGCCTCGAATCACCCCTGCTTTCAGCCCACTGCAAAAGCACTTCCATCGTTCTGGACGCTGCATTTTTTGCTGCTTCGTGAATTGGATAGTATCCATTGTGACAGGGCTGTCTGTTATCTACCCCCAAGTCTTTCATCTACAATCACAAAATGATCGATACGTCAAATAATTTATTCGAAATGATCACACCAAATAAAAAATAAGCGCCCTTTAAACTTTAACTATTATGACAGGCATTTATAATCCATTATTACCATACACAATATTGAAAATTAAAAGGAATTACATTTTATATAAAATGTAGGTATATTATAATAACGGACTAGAAATAATTACGCAACGCACACCGGACAACATTATATAAGCAATAAGCTCGATGTAGAAATACATCTTCACTACTGTGATTGTTCTGTTGTATTACAAAGTAAATTATACAACTACACAAAATGTATCAATAAATATAAATAAATTTCGCTATGACTGAATTCTGAGTTATAATTTGATAAAATATTTTATTACAATTTTCTTAATACGTAGTATAAGTTATGTCCAAGTCTCAATAACAATTTGTTTATGTAACAAGTTTCATAAAATAAACATATTAACATTAAGCTATTCTAGACGTACTAAATCAAAAATGTGTTATACTATTAGTACTGTGAATTATTGAATAACAGTAGTTGCTATTTTAGGTATCAAAATGTATGATTTTATTTTCTGATCCATGAAAAACTGTTATTGAAAAGATATAACTACATATTTTCAAGAAACAAGTGATAACTGAAAACACAAATCATTTTTTAATTTTTTTTTAATCATTTGATAAAATAAATTTGAAAAAAATTTGGCCATTTGATAACTTATTTAAAGGCTAGAAGAATAAAAAATTAATTGAAATAAGAGAAAATTTTTAAGCATTACAGTTTATGAACTTTTAAAAAATTTGTCAACTAATTTAAAGAAGTTTTAAAAAACATTCGTTAAATCATAAGGTTAGAGGAATGATTTTTGAAATGTATATACAATTATATAAAATCAAAAACTATAATAAAACTAGACCGATTTGCATATGATTAAAAAAAATTGTAAACCAAAGTGTATTACTATTATTATAGTATTACAATACATAAAATGTATGTCCTAGAATAAAAAAAAAGTATTAAATTTTTGGAAAAATTATTATAAGTGTAATAGCTCTGTATTTTACGTAAAGCTAATTGAATATTTTGTTGAAACACCAGTATTCCAAAATACAATATTTATAAAAAAATTTAAAATTATTTGAAATAAATAACACTCAAATTATTAACTTTACCTATTACATAAATATTGCATAATCAGTCATTAGTTAAGTATTTAGTTTAAAATAAACTAATTGCGTTAGCAATCATAAAAAGTTACGTATAACTAAATTTATTATAGTTTGAAAATACGAGTAATACAAAATAAAAAGACAGAAAATTCGATTTTAGTTTTATTTTTAGGCCAAAAGAAAATGTCAAATGAGATAATTAAATCGGTACATCATTTAACACATTAAAATTATAAGAGAATAGATTTCAGAAAATTTTTAGTAATAACGGTTTAATATGAATTATGTTGAATAAAGGACGCTCATTTAGATAGTATCCGAATGTAGTCAAACCTTTAGTGGGTTGATATTGCACTGATGTTTATAATATTTAGTGTATTTCCATGTCAAACACATTTTGAATACTGAACATAAGAAACTGAAATCAATGGGTTCATATCGGCATTTAAATATTATTTAATATTAATAAAAATCTATGAAATTTAATAAATTCATTTTCTCACGCTATAAAATTTTGTGATTTTTGATTTGATATAGTGTCTTCGGCTTTGAAATATTTAAACTTCGAATCTGCAAGACTTGTGACCTGAAATTTATCTAATAAATATTTCCCGTATTCTATAAAATATATTTAAATGGGTTATGAATTTAATGGTGTTCACTAAAATCGAAAATATTAATTTGATTTTTTTATGTGCTAAATTTTGTACATTTAAATGTAAAATAAGCTAGTTATGTTTATTTATAATCTCATATTCACATATATTTATGTTCACATTTAAAGAGGAGTTGTTGGATAATAGTTAACTAATGTCCAATATCATTAACATAATTATACATAGATAATATAAGATTTACATTTGATATGTATGTTAATATAATACTTAAATTCAATTCGATTTGAAGTAGTTATAAATAAAACAATCAATACAAATCAACACCGTTTTATCATAAATTTGAAAATATTGGTGTTTGTGATGCATTTCTAAAGGAATAATAGCTTGTTGAAAAAAAGTTGTTATATACAGTAGTTAAAACATTGTGCGTAAGCTATAAGTTTTGAACACACATTTTATAATAATTATTATTATTGTAATGTATCTGCAATATCTTGGTGCAAATATCTGAATCAAGTATAGTAGTGTATGTATTAGTTATAAAATTGTTATGTATTATTCAAGAACATACATAACAGATTGTAAGTATCTTATTTTTTTCTCAATAATAATGATTTAAATAAAATGATGTAATAATATTAATTTATAACTTACCAAAATACGTGCACATTCATCATTATCGTGGATGGCAGCCAAATGAAGTGCTGTTCTACCGTGGTTACCACCTTGCCTGGGATCGATCCGATCTTTGAATTTACACATCACTTGGAGAACGGCTACACGGTTTAGCTCGACTGCTAAATGTAGAGCCGCTTGCTTTTTATCATTTAATGCACTTGGATCGGCACCACTTTAGACACATACAAACAATGATGGTCCGTAAACCAGTATAACTATATTGCTATAACTATAACTAAGTATAACTAAGTATTTTTCATTGTATTAAATCAAAATAATTATGAAATACCTAATACTATATTTATATAATGTTATAAGTCTTTTTATTTGTATAATTACAGTTGATATATGTTTTCATTGCATTCATTAATTGTTTGAACTGAATTTTAAAATAAACACATTTATAATAATTTTGACTACTGGCCGCTTTTCAATTAAAAATCATGTCTGTACTCTATTCTGTTTTACTGTTTTATATAAAAAATTTTTTAAAATTATCATTGTAATCAAATAAATTCAATATTAATAATTAATAACTAAGAAAACTGTGTCAAATTTCAAAAATGTACGTAAAAGTAATAATTATGGGGTAAAAAAATAAAACAAATAATCCATAAATATTATACAAATTTGAAAATAGACATTATTGGAAACTAATGGTTAGTATAGAGCTGAAGTTTTTCTCAAACCGATGAAATCGGAAGTGTAAATATAAATTTTGAAAAAAAAAAATAAAAACTACTGAATTTAAAAGTTCGTTATCATTATTTTCAATTACCTACACAATTGCATAATCACATAGTCCCTTTGAAAGCGAGATTTCCTTTCAGATTTAATAAAATGCGCGACATTGTTCAAAATTATTCTTGACATAAGACATTGATTTACAAAAATTTATTCATAAGGCATTCAACTATGTTTTCGGAAAATTCAATTTTATACATTACAGAATAAAAAGTACTCTTAAGAAATCTTATTCCTTTTTAATAAAATAAAACCTTCTGGTAGAAATACGAGTATTTAACATCCTGATTTTTCAATATTGATATTTGTATAGCCATGTAGTTCAATATTTGTAATACAAATTACAAAGTGTCAACCAGGAGCGGATCTGAAGCCTGGTTTAGGGGGGGGGGGCGAATAGGAATATTTATAAGTAATACATAGAATACAATGAATACTTAACCGTTATTTAACCAATTTATTGAAAAATAAGTACAACGCTTAATACAAATAATTAATTCTTTATTTTCTTTATTTAATTACCTATAAAAATTCACTATTCAAAATATTAATTACAATAATAATTTAATATTTTTTTTTTTTTTCATTTACAAACCTATAAATGATTTATTTTATATTTACAATAATATATAAAAAATATTAAATAAATCTGTAAAAAAAAAAGCCCAAGGGAGGAGCAATCGCCACGTTGCCTCCTCCAAAGATCCGTCCCTGGTGTCAATCCTTTTCAGAGATGTTTAAATACAAAATGTTAACACTGTGTTAAAAATATCACACCATAGCTCATACTGAAGAATGAGTAGACATTATAACTATAATAATTATGTGCATGACAATTTAAGGAAATAATTGCGAATACTATTAAAAAAAAATCGAATAAATGTTTTCGCTTAATTCGAGTCTATGGTATAGTTATTTTACTCAGAATTATTATATTTTTATTAGGAAATAATAGTATATTATCAATGTATAATATGTATAATACATAATATTATTCATGTATTAGCAATAGTAGATTTCTGATTCGTGTAAAGTTTTTTTGAGTTAAACTAAAAGTGTTTTAACTAGATTTACACTATTGTATTTTTAGGTCATCAAAAAAAATCAAATTTTTTTTAATTTATATGTTATTTTCCATATACAATTTGCTTTCCTTCAAGAATACATATAAATATTAGTGAACATATCCTCTAAATAAACTGAAGCCCATAAAGATTTGTGAGACTCTTACGCGTGTCATTATTAAATGAGTCATGAGTTAAACATAAAATATAAACATTAGTTAATGTTTTCAAAATGTATAAATCAGACCATATTGATAAAACTACTTATGCAAGGTCAGCTATTATTATATGCTCTAAAATACAGTATCAATAAATTTCCTGTATCTAGATTAACACTTTTCAGTCAACCACTATCCAAAAAACAGTAAATCACATTCTGATAAAAATGTATGCAGCGTATCCTGTGTATCCTCGTCTTTCAATAACTTCACTGCAGTTTGAGCAATTTCTTCAATCCTTTGGCCAACACTTTCTAGTGGGAGGCGACATCAACTCCAAACATTCCCAATGAGGGTGTATTTCTGAAAACTTTAGAGGAAAAATGCTTCTCGCAATCATCAACAATAACCCATAACTTGTTTATTAGTTCCGATGGGCCAACGTATTGGCTTCTACACGAAAACAGACATCTAGATGTATTAGATTTCTTTATTTCCAAATTACCTCGACATATTAATCACTCCATAAGTAATTTATGTGAACTCAGCTCAAATTACACCTTTGTCCTTCTAATTTTAAACAAAACACCTACATTAAATTCTCCATACTCATCCTTATCTCAGGATCCTGTCAACTGTGACAAATTCTCAAAAATAATGGAAAATATTACCAATTTAAAACTTTCACCTAAAACCAATAATGAAATAGAAAATGTCATCCTCTATACAATTTGTAGTATTAAAATTCTCATATATAAAAAAACAAACCAGCCACCAGTATTTACATAACCAAGTTCTGTCCACGTATTGAACGGACTTAATAGCAGCATAGCAGCAGAAAGGCTTAGACGCTTTTAAAACGACTTGAAGATAGTTCAAAACTCAAGGAAACAGAAAATAAGGTCAGCGCACAATGAATAACGTCGGTTTTGCTGGAAAATTCCAAAGGCAATGTGGACAAGATACACAAAAGAAGAGTGAAAAAAAAGATATATAACATAAATTCAAGAGACAAGCATCTCCTCTTCCATCCATCACGCTACCTTTTCAGGCTTCTAAAATTGTAGAAGTCATTAAGGAAATAAAAAAAGGAAAAGTAGCAGGGAATGATAACTTATACCCAGAGTTCCTTCATTATCTGGGGCCCAAAGCTACTGTATGGGTTGCCGATGTTCTCTTCTAAATTTTTTGTTCAGGGAAATCGCCTAAATTATGGTAACAATCATTTGTAGTGGAGATTCTCAAACCAGACAAATTCGCTGATAGCCTGAAAAGTTATCGACCTATATATTTACTAAGCATAATGATAAAACTAATGGAGAGAGTTATTATGAAACGAAATACCCAGCTTACTGACAGGTTTTAGGCGCTCAAGAGATTGATGTGAATAAGTTGCAGCCCTGCTATCGCACATAGAAAAATTCTTTAATGACCACAAAAAAACCGGAGCTACTTTCATTGACTTCAACACCGCCTATGATACTGTCTGGAAAAATGGGCATATGAACAATCTGACAAAAATATAAATTTAAAACATTGAACAACGGACTACCACAAGATTTAGTTCTGGCCAAAAAAAAAAAATAATAATGATGACTTTGGGTTCTACTACTGAATAGATTTCCCACCTCATATGATTCATAAAAAAAAAAAAAAAATGAAAATAAAATAATGTATTACCTAATTTACTTACTGTGCAAATATTAATACAGATTGTAAATACAATATTTTAATAAAAAAAAAAAAAATAAATAACAATTTTTTCACAGGAATATATTTTTTTTATTAATTTTCTAATGAAATTATTTATGATAGATAATTATAGAGTATTTAAATTGAAGTATATTTATTTATTAGAATACTTTATGAAATATAAATAGCAAACAAACAAAACTGTACTGTTTTGTATGCTTTAACCATGTGAAATAACAATATAAAATAAGATTACAATTTTTTTCTTTTTTAACAATTGATCACCTAAAAGAAAGGATAATTATACATTTTTAAATTAATGTTGTATTATAGTAGTTATAATATTTGTGTAACGTTATTTGTGTTCAATTATATAGATCATTTTTTTTGCACTTATAGATAAAATATTAGTTAAAAATCATTAGTTATTATTATAACTATATACTATAACTTAATCAATTATTTAAAAATCCTATGGATAAATGATCAAATTCAAATTTTAAAACATAAGTACTGCGTTTGAAATGCTTAAAATTGTTTATTGCTAAGTATTAATCCAAATAATGTTGCTCACTTTTGAAGTAAATATTCCAGCGCGTCCAATGAGTTGTGCTCGATTGCAATGTGAATTGGAGTATTTCCACAAGAATCCCGTAAGTTCAAATCTATTTGAAAAATGATTATATTAAATCATTTTTATCCTTGAATTTATCCTTGCCTACAATGACCTACAATGACTTGAATAATTATAACGTATCATAAAATACAGCGATGTGATATAAAAACATAAAATAATATAACATAATATAAAAACAAGGAAAATTCCACTCAGTGATTTTTTTTTTTCTAATTTATATCGATGATTTATGGTAAATATGAGATAAACGCATCGATTATATAATAGATAGTTAGTCCACGATGTAGGTGGTTTTTGAACAACTAAAATTATTTTTTTATAGACTGCCGATTGGTAGCGTTGGTTTTATAATCGATTGAATTATGATTTACGAGTACGTATATTATATAATCAATGATAAATGGTAGTACTGAGTAATAGGTAGTTTTTAACTACTTAAATATGAATGTTACTATTGTTTCTGAGTCTTCTTTTGCCATTCAAATTGTTAAAAAAATAGAATAAATCATTGAGTTATAAAACAAAGTATATTATGGAACTCATTTTAATCCATACGTTAAGCGTTAATCTATTAACAAAAGTATATTTATTTCCAGACATCGAGTAAAAATATGAATCAAACATCTTTCATTAACATTGTTTAAAATAAAATAATTTTATTTCTACTCAATTATAATTAATAAGTAAATGATTTGAATATTATGATATAACTAACTTTAGTCGAAAAAAAGACTACAAAACAAAAATTTGCGGTCAGGAGCACTTGTCTTTTTCGAACTCTTACAATACTTATGAGTTATAACACAACAGAACGTCACTGATGAACGTTAAAACCCAAGGTGATAAGAAAATAATCAAAACAATTTTGCCACCGTTACTATTGCATTACACTGAATGTCATTTGAATAACAAAATACTTGACTTTAAATAAGTAAAACACGAGTAGGGTATTCTGTTGAATATAAATTAGATTTAAAAGAATGTTTCTTTGACATAATGTTGAAAAGGGTATAACAATATTGAAAAAATATATAAATAATAATAATTATACAGATTCAATTTTAAAATAAAAATATTATTATTCAAAATTAAATGTTTAATCATTATATTTCCCTATTGAAAAAAATATCAACAAATTTTACTTCAAAATGCATTTCCGATTATCGTATACTCGAAAATTACGAAGGATATTTATTTTGAAATATTTTTTGTATGAATTTATTCATAATGATTATTTAAACTTTAAAAATATAATATATTTTATGTGGCATGGTAACGTGTGAATAACATCCATTGCAAAGTCTCTACTCCGTAGATAAGTATTGCCGTGAATACTCACGTCAATCATTCTTCTTTTCAATTCTCTCAATCTTCACTCAACGGTCATCATTACATAAATACATGTAAATTATAAGTTCGTTTGAGATGCGATAAATATGTCAATTATTATGATCAAATGAATAGTGTAATATTTTTACATAATGTACAAAAAGAAAAACGGACGTACAGTAAAATGTATTTATAAGCGTACTGTATTTATAGGTGTACCATTTCACTGAAGTCGATCATCCATGCGTATGAGATAAATCATATAATATATGTATGTGTGATGATATATTATATGATCACACATATTTAGGGTTGCCGTCCATCTCGATGTATCGGGATTGTCGCCTTTATTGAGTTTGCTGTCCAGACGTGCCAACAAAACACTACAATCTCTCAATTGAAATTGCGCATTGCAAATTTCTCAAATTTTGTTTTATAGTATACGAATATTTGATCGAAAATAAAAAATTATGTTTTTAAACTTGTACAACTTAACAATAAGAGTTTTTTCGTTAATGTTGGCCCAGTAGACTGATGTACGAAATTGTCTGCTCCTAGAGAATATGGAATCGATTTTACAGTGTCGAGTTAATTATTCTACAAAGAGTTTTACAAATATGTTTAAGGGAACAAAGAACTGTTGAAAAAAGAAAAATCTTCTGAAAAATATGGTTATCCAGGTAGATACTCAGAAATAATCTAAAAATATTTTATTTTATGTAACATAAATACATAATCAATTATTTAATCTAAAACAAAGAATTATGATGTATATTACAAAATTGAGTATTTTTATACATTTAAAGAATCCTTAGAATATTCCGACGAGACTTTAGTCAAATATGACAATCCTATACATATTAGTATATTACATTGTAAATCTTATAATTAGGGCTGGGATTTCGATGCATTTTTCATTTTTTTCTGAAGCTTTCTGTATGATTCTCGTTTTGTTACAAATATGTTTTAGGTATTTTTAAATTAGAATAATAAATTTTACTTTGCATTTTTTTGCATTTTATGATTTTTTTTGATTTTAAGATCATTTTTTAATTTTTAGGGCATTTTAAGCGTTTTTAAGTAATTTTAGGTGTTTTTTTAATTAATAATTATAGATATAGATTTTTTCTACCGATGGATTAGTATTATTGTGTAAGGTATACAATGTAAAATTTGCTGTTAAAAAACGTTTTACTATACAACAACATACCTATTTCAAGAGACAAACATATTCATGGAGTACAACGAAGAACAAGAAAAAAAATATGTATATCTACAAAAACTTATTGGGGAACAACCCATGCTCTCTGATTTATTGTAGCAATAAAGAATATTTTTTTATTTATTAATACATGATGTAAAATAAATACTTAAATATATATAATTAATACATAAATATAAAATATTTATGTACATGTAATGTAATTTTTTTAAATTTTAAAGACATTTTTTAAGTTTTATAAAGTAAATTTTGCATTTTTTTAAGGTTATTTTTCGCGATTATTAAGGACATTAAAATCTCAGCCCTAGTTATAATATCATAATACAATGTTTAAAGATAAAAAAACGTATATTATATAACTAACAAATACATCAAATAATTCTAAGGAAAATTACAAACGACCTTTTAATACAATCAAATGAACGGTGATTGACGATGTCTAACTATTGGTGACTTTGATGTATTTTTCAATAAGCCTTTTAAAGTGACTTTCAACTGCTGAGAAATTTGGAAATTTACATATTTAAAATGCTGACTGGAATTTCCAATTGACGGATAGTCTCGATGTACAACTTTGGAAACATTTCTGTTACTTAAGTATAGTCGGTAATTGGTAAAAGAAAATAATTAGATTACACATAGAGCTCTCACAAAGGAGGGGCTGTTGGACTTGGAATACAGGGACCATAAACAGAAAAGTATTTCAGTAAATTGGAAATTCACTGAAGACGTGGCAAAGATCAACAACGAGTCAAGAAAGATTAAACTCATTTGCTCTTTTAACTTTGAAGAATGCATTGTCTTCAACAATAAAGTTCGACGGTGTTACTGAGTTTGCTGTGCTCAAAACTCGTATGATAAAATTTTAACTTAAAAAAAATATATATTAAATATTTATAAAATATACTTGCTTTTTTCTTTTTTAATTTTGAAAAGATTGTAATAAAAAAATAAAGACATTATAAATATACTTATGAATTTTGAATTATTATAATTTATGATACACTTTATAACTGAAAGTTTTATAATGGGTTCGGACAAAAATTTAGTTCAGGGGTCCAGAATATGATTCGGAGGCTTAGGTTACACTAAACTATATATTTTTGATAAATTAGAAAAGAAAAATGAATAAATAGATAATTAAGTATTTCTAGTAAAAATATAAAAGTATATTTTTTTTCGTTAAAAATAAAACATACACATTCGATTATTGACATACAATTTTAATCTTTCCTTAGTTTTTTTTTATAATTTGAACGACTTTGAAAACATTAGTTATTCAAATAATACAATCTCAATAGCAACTTTTAAGTCTAAAGTTCTAAATTGTTAAATTTGTTTTGTTATCTTTTTTGTATGTTCAAATGTTGATTCTAGTCTATAAATCTATAAAGGATTTAAACTAACTATAATCAGGGACAAAATATTAGTAGAACTTTTAAATATAACTTTAATTAAGAGTATTTCTGATGGGTGATTACTTTTCAAGCTACTTTCAAGCCATTAAAAAAAAAAAAAATTATAAAATTTCTTATATTAATCCATTCTAATCTTAAATTAATCCAATCATGTTTTTCATATACATGATGTTTATAATACAACATATTATATCCATTCTTTTATAATTTATTGGCTTTTGTACGGCAATAATTTTTGCCATTCCTTGTTATGAGTATACACAAATCATAAGTGATTTGCCTGGTTAATATAACATACGTAAATAATACACGATAAAAACAATTAAACAATTATTCACCAATATCAACTGAGTGTGATGACAATCTTTAAATCTCATAAGTAATCTTACTTATATATATATATTCGAGGTGGAAAACGGGTTTCAACAGCATATAAGAACGAAAGGCTACGCTTATAATTAACGTTATATGATTTGATCTCAGTAAACATCGCAATGCCTAAACACTAAGAGCAAGATCTTATATTATGCGAACCATACGAGTGTACATGATAAATATTGTATTTAGGGCCATTTTTAGCTCTTTCAGCGCCAGTCGTGTAGCTAGCTATTTCAAAAGGGGGGTGTTACTTAAAATTATACACAACAAAATAAATACTTTACGTATACTTTATTGTACAAGAATACAAACACATTAGTACATTACACATGAATATCTATTCATGAACCTTTAAGGTTAATTTATACCAAAGATGAGCAACTGAAAGTTACTAAAGGGCAAATTTTTAGAAAATTAAAATCCAGCGGGCCAAAGCATAGAAAAAAAAATCATTCAAAATATGAATTTTAATTAAAATTTATGTACATCGAAATAATAAATTCAACACACACGACAGATGTGATACGAATAAACTGATATAGTTAGATAATTTGGTACAAACAGCTAAGTTAGTTTGAAAGTTATACGTTTACATATTCATGCGAGTTTGTACTATATAGTGGTATAAAACTTTATTTATAAAACTGCATTATACACATGGTATAAAATTATTTTTTACAGACAGTATAAAAAAAAAAACGAAAGCGTTATTTTTAGTTATGTTTAGTAACTCAACTATTAATTTTTTAGTTGTACTTATAGAATGGATCTCCAAAAATAACAGTATTATTATAAAAATTAAAAATATACAATATTATTGTACTCGTTTTAATTTAGAATTCTGGTGTTAAAAATGACAAAAATCAATTTATTGTACTATTACAATATTCAAATATTGTAAATATGTAGGTACAATGAGATAGTATATAACTATAAACGTATAAAGTATAATTTTCTATTTATTTATATTTAAAAAATATGCATTTATTACATACATCGTATGTTACCTATATCATAATTGCAAATCGATATCATGACTAAATATTAATTTGGTGAATTTGGTGAATAATATTTGTATTATGTGTTTTTTTAATTTTTTCTAAACTTTTAGCCATTTTTTTCAATTATTCCATTTTAAAATAATTAACAACGGGGTGATAACTTTTGTTAAATTCCTTATAATTTAAGGTAATGCAAGGTTCTATACAGTATAATACGGAATTATACAAAAAATAAATAAAATACCGTATTTTAACATCTCTACGTATACATATATATGAAATTTAGATATTTAACAATGTTTAATACTAGATAACAATTATTATATCGGTAAGATAGAGTATAGACGATAGATTTTAATATTGTAGGTATGGTGTAATTTGAAAATATAACACGCCAGATAAAAAAGGCTTGAGGGTCGAATGCGGCCCGCGGGCCGCAAAGAATAATTTTTGGATATTTAATAACAGGCACATGTTTCTAAAATTCCAACAAGGAATGACAACTGTATTTGAACTGCTTCAGTCCTTCATCTTCCAATAATTCCAAGAGTTCAACTTCTAAAGCTGTTGTATCCATTAAAATCGATTTTAATATTGACCCGGAAGAAGTAATCAATATTTTTAAACTTCAACTAAGAAAACAAGGTTTTATCTTATAATTTTTTTTATATTTTTAAATTTGTAATTTATATGGACAACATATTGTATTGGTATTCAATTGTATTAAATAATTCATATTTAATTTTAACGTTTTATGGTACTAATATAAATCTAGACCAAAACTCTCTCCGAAAATATTTCTTACCTATGCCCATGTATCCATGTCCCTATGATATTTTGATATTCCCTCTAAAACCTCTCACATGCCCTTCTGATTTAGTGCTTTGTACCGTCGATCGCATTTAAAGCCGGCCTTGATGGTGTCAATAATACCCGCAGTTATTTAAAACTCAATACTTTGTCTCCAGATATCGTTTATTAGTTACAACAAATACAATATATTCTTTGTTGTTAACGTTTCAATTAAAAAACCAATAGTTGCCACCCCGATTAATACGATACCTCATCGTAAACCTTCGAAGAATTTAATCCTTAATGGTGGTTCATCGATTCATTATAAATTAGGACGCTTGTTCTACTGTTTTAGAAACGCGTTTAAAATGAAATGTATTGAACGCAATGCGTTTCAGTTACAATGCAAAGAAAACATAAATTTAAAAAATAAATACGTAATTCCGGAAAACTAAAAATTAAAAGTTATTGTACAAGGGTACTGATGGAAAATTGTCCGAACATCATGTACACGGGCATATAACTGTATAATGTGAGCGTAAAATAAAAAGTGGCGATTAAGGGATGGAAAGATGTTCAATATTTTCGATGGTTAATTTCATCAAATTCGTTTCTTAAGTACTACATCATTGTTTGTTCTAATCCGCATATGCAGTCTGAAGGACACATGCGTTTTGCGTATTTAAATTAAACGATGCGAATAATATTTACCTCCTCCGTGGTTTCTGATGAATTGCAATATATTTAATTTATTTCGGGCAGCTGCTTGATGTACGGCCGCTCGACCTTTTGAATCTCTCACCTCAAGACGGGCAGGTTCTGCTACGAAAAGACGATTGAAATCATCCAAGTTACCACTCTCGGCCGCCTGAAAGATTTGTTTTAAACGTTTACATTATCATTATAATGATAATCAATTTTAATCACAACGCCAATATTACATTTGTATACTCTTTGAATTTGATCTCTGATAAAAATACATACCGTAAAAATAAATATTTAAATAAATAAACATTTTAGAATATTGCGATAATTAAATCTCAATGTATCAATCTCTACTTGGTGTCTAAAATATACCTAACCCAAATGGCACTCATGAAAATGTCCAATACATTTTTGTAGTTCATTTAATCAACACGCATAAGTATCATATTAATTGTAAATTACAAATATATGAATAAATTCTATTTTTCGTACTCATAATTTTTTATCATGAATAAATCAGTCTAGAAAGAGAATTAGTAATCAAATGTAATATATATATTATATTATAATTTCTACAACGATTATACAACCATTTGCTTATTGAAGTGGATTATTGTACCTTTTTACCAAGCATTATATCGAAAATATATTTTTATAATCGTGAAACGAATAACGATATCATTTTTTAAATGAATTTCAAGTAATAATATAAAACAATGAAAAAATTATTAAAATTAATATGTATTAAATATAACATTATTTTTTACAATTATTAATTTGATTTTTTCTTCAAGAGGAATTGAAAATATTGCATTTAAAAGAAGAATATTTTATTTAATTTATTTGTTTATTTATTTAGAGGGCAAAAGTCCAATAAAATATAAATATAAAAATTGGCAATGTTGGGTACAATTTTCTAAGTAATACACTTCTAAAGTTAGGTATTATATTTTTAAATTTATATTGACAATAAATTATTCTATAAATCTTATATGTTATATAAGACTAAAATGAATCCACTAATTTCATGAAAATTCTTAAATTTTAAAGCTATAATGTTGAATTAATTACAAAGTCATTGAGGTCTGAAATCATCACTAGAAAACATATAAATTACATAGAAAACCATTTAAGTAGTGCCTCGGGAGGTGTGATTTAATTAGAAATTACAAAATTATGAGAATAAGAAAAATATTTAAGATTTATAATAAATCATAAATAGATCATAAAAAATATTTATTAGGAATTGATAATTGATACACAAATATAAAATTATTTTGTAATTTTTTTTTAATCGAATATCAAAAATATTTGTTATTATGTATAAATAATAGTTCGTTTTTTTATTACAATATCTTAATTTTTATATATTTAAAAATGTAATTTATATTTATATAATCACATTGTAATTCACAAGTAATACATAGAAATTAAATTACACACAAACACGCATGCACGGGTTTTCCTCGGATATTGGCTATTATTAACTCGAATAAGTATAAATTAAAAATCAAGAGCGTTATTGGAACAAAAATAATAAAATACATTGCTCTTATATAGTATTTGATATCAAAGACTTGTGAATTATGCAATTAAATCAATAAGGTTTCCCTGAATTATACTTAATGAATTTAATACTTTGTTTTACCCAAAAGCGTGCATAGACCTGTATTTCATTGGGGCCTACAATATTATAGGGCTCTATCTTAACAAAACATATTGGTAGGAATATTTAATAAATTATAATATATAATAATTTAATAAACATAACTTTATTTCTTATTTTAATATTGTGGGATATTAGTTCCAAATTGGAACTTTCAATGAATATGTTATCTTTGAATCTCGTATATTTTTCTTAGATAACTTCAATTAATTATGATTTGTTCTTTTTTTGTCTATTGTAGCTGTTATACTATAATAATAATAATAATAATAATAATAATATATATATATTATATTACTTTTTTATTTATGTTGGAAGCTCTAGAAATGTGTTGTTGGAAAAAAATGCAAAAAATAAGTTAGACTAAGTGAAGAACAAAGGAAGAAGTCCTGAAAACAACTATTAATAGATACTTCAAAGAGAAAGATATGGCAGAAGATACACATTGAGACATGGGAATAAATTACATAGTTTAAATAATTGGAGGAATGATAGAAGGAACACGATCAAGAGGAAAACCTAAAATGAAATACACTAGCCAAATAATGTAGGATACATTAGTCACTTCTTACAAGGAGCTCAAAATCATTGCAAATTACAGGAAAAAATGGCGGAAATATATATTGTGAAGAAATTTGTTAAAAATCAATCTCCTGATTGAAAAACAAAAAAACATTTTTATTTATATATTTTTTTCAATAATTCTGAATTCAATGTTTTCTTGATAATACTTGAGGTTGTTGCATTATTTATTGATTGTTTAATAATGAATTATATTTCACATGTGATTAGTTCTTTCACGTACATGATGTAAATCATGTAAATAGAAAACCTTCAAAAAGTATAACTTAAAGTGGGGTAATATTTTCTCATAACAATATCATGAAATGTGATCAAATGATCAATTATTTTTTAATTTCCTTTAATCACGTTGATTTGCATTACTTTTGTTTATTAGTTGCTCATAAAAATAAGCAGAGTTGTGGTTTTATCTATCATTAATATCGTTAAAACAGAATATAATATTGTTTCAACATTAAAAAATATTTTTGTGATTGTTTAAATAAAATTATTACTATATATATTTATTTTGAATTTATTATGATTATCATTAATATTCATCAACAATTAACCATCGGGTTTAAGATAAAATAAATTTAACTGGACACGTTTAAAATCAAATATGAAGATATTAACATTATGTAGGTAGTTGATTACTAAATTCTGGCAATTTTTTATTAAAACAACTAAAAGAAGTGTTAACTTTATTGTAAAGATAAGAGTTAAATTTAGGAAAATATGTAACGGATTGAAAAAGCAATCCATAATAATATTTAATGCGAGTTTATTAGTGAGTAACATCGATTGTTTGTTAATTCCAAAAAAGTGTACTGATAAAAATCGAAAATCAAATATATTTGGATATAAAAATATTTAATTAAAAACATATTACTAAAATCATTAAACAGTGAAATATTGTTGGAAAACTTGACTATTTTAAAAATGGGTTGTAATATATGATAGATATTATGTTTAAATTGAGTTATTTATTATTTTTTTATACTGGAAAAAATTTTAAAATAACAAAAAAATACAAAAATCTAAATTCTCTATTTTTTTATTTATTATAATTATGAAAATGTTTGTTTTATAAATAACGTTAAAACTTAAATAAAGTAGGTAAAATATCAAATCACAAAGTCGACAATTTTAGAGTCCATAAGTACATATTAATGTTATTTATATCATAACAAGGTAGTATTTTATTTTTATAGATATGTAAATTATTTTAACGGTGTTATCAACAACATTTAAAAGTTTCACAATAACTACCAATCCAACCAAGCAATAAAAAAAAAAACCTTACACTAGGAAAACATCTGAATGGTGTATCTTGAACCAGGCAGATACAATACTTTATACTTGTTGCTTTGTAGGGTGAATAAAATGCTCGATATATTCCGTGTGTCAGCAAAAATACTAAGGCATTGAATATTATACATTAATATACATATAAGGTATACTTGACTTAAGAAACCACTAAGTGAACCGGAATTGTTAAATTCAATTACAATTTTACCACCGTAAATACAAAGAAAATGAAGAATGTGACTTAATATAAAACCTGTTGACTGAAAATTAGGAGTTCAAAACCAACCACTCTGCCGTTAGTGACAATACCAATATAGCACTTTTGAGTATATGAAAAATTATAAATCATTAGTCATTAAGTAAAGAAATAAAAAAGAAAGAAAACAATTGTTATATAATTTACAACAACTAATTCATAGATAGCATGTAAACTAAGAAAAACTGGTTTGAAGTCGAAATCGGTGCTATAGTAGTAAAATATTTGATTAATCCAATAGTCAAATAAGTCATGATAAGAAATAAGCTTGGAATTCAAGGTGTTTATTGAACAATACATATTATCAATCGTAGAGATACATTTAACATCTTTGGAAAAAATAACCGAAAAACCCGTAAAGATAAAGGAACACTATGTATATACATAAGCACACTTAGGATAATGACAAAATCTACCAGTGGTGTATTTAGACTTACTTTTAGGTGGGGAACTCAAATTTTTTCTTTAATTCAGGCTCAAAATTTACAAGTCAAATTTTGGTAGTATTTAAATCGGGTAAATCCTTAATATTTGTGGTATTTTTTTAATCTAATGTCGGATCCACTTAGAATCGACTTTTGTGTAGTTCTTTTTTAACACCTGTTTGTGTTTTGAAAATTACGCTTGTGTTTTATTTGATTCACAAGTATGGACCTGACAAAAAGCCCAAATTTGATTTCGTTATAAAATGATTCACATTAAAAAAATTTGTAATGTGTATTTCACATACTCGTATAATCGATTCCTTAAATACGGATTCAGAGGAGGAAATCGCCCTTTCGCCCCCCTTAAAATACGCCCCTGAAATCAACATATGTTATTGTAAAAGTGGCCATGAGTAGTGAAAAATAGTATAATGTTTTCTTCATAAAACCTCAAATACGAAATCCACATTACATTTATTATATTAGACTTGGGATTAATTAAATTTATTTAGCTCGAGAGAGGTGATCCCCAAAACATGGTATGATTAGAATCAAATTACGGAAAACAATAACAAAAAGGGAGGGAGTGGAAACTAAAACTGTTAATATGTAAGATTTTATTGTGAACTAGAATAATTGACTAGTAACTTTATACTATAATTGCATATTACGAAAAAAAATGTATGTTACATCCTAAATGAAAATAGCGAAAACTAGGAACTTTTTTTTAATAAATATAAAAATAAATTATTTAAAATCAATTGAAGTTAATACTTAAAATATTTTAATGGTATTGTTGTTAAGACTAAAAGGAATGCTATAAAATGAAAAAAAATTTTGTCGATTAAAAATTGTTGACGTACATATATATTTACAAACTTCTTTCTACTGAAATTGAATTATGTTTTTAAGTATAATTCAATTTTAGCCTTTCATCTAAATAA